TTTGTTAGACTTACGTCTTTATCTTGTTGCAGACCTTGAGTTTGTTATTTTGATTTCTGACCAGACATTATTTACTTCATATGCCTTAGTCACAATATTTAAATATTTTTCATTTGTATGGGGGGCCGTGGGGTAGCCTAGTGGTTAAAGCGTTGGCTCGTCACGCCGAAGACCTGGGTTCGAATCCCCACATGGGTACAATGTGTGAAGCCCATTTCTGGTGTTCCCCCGCCGTGATGTAGCTGGAATATTGCTAAAAGCGGCGTAAAACCAAACTCAGTCAGTCAGTCAGTCATTTGTATGGAGTAAGCAAACATTTTCCATTTTTTAACTCCTTTAATTTTGTAAATTTATCTATTTATTAGATTTTCTCATAAGTGATATTCCAACAAATAACTTACATGTGTATATTTACCAGATTTTGACTTTTTCTACCGAGTGCCAGATACTGTCTTAGTGCTAGATTATGATGTATAATAATAATTTGCATATTGTATGTAGACATGATACAAGTCACAACGATGTTTGTGTACAATGTGGAATGGTTCAGTCGTGGGTTACATTTTGTTCTTAGAGAATCAGGTGACGGCTTCTTTGAATAAAAAGAAATGCTCAAGTGGTTTGTCAGGGATACATTCATGGTACATTTATGTCATATATATGTTTGGTTGAGAAAGATGGTTGGATTATTTCATATATATTCAGACTCTTTACCTCTCTTCATTAACATTCTCAATCTATTTGAGGCAATATCAAATGAACTGATAAACAACATTATAGCTGCTGTATTCTCTGTTTGATTGCCCACAAAAATGCAGACATTTCTGTATCTTCAAAATGAAACGCAATACCATACTCACTCACTCACTTGTTATGGCAAGGACTAACTGAAATACTGGGCGGTGGGGTAGCCTAGTGGTTAAAGCGTTCGCTCGTTACGCTGAAAACCCGGGTTCGATTCCCCACATGGGTACAATGTGTGAAGCCCATTTCTGGTGTCCCCCGCCTGATATTTGCTGGAATTTTGCTAAAGCGGCGTAAAACTAAACTCACTCACTGAAATACTGTTTAAAGCTGTGCAAATGCCAGCTTACTAAACCAAACTATATCAGTCATCATTTGGCCAGTAAAGTTGCTGCTCCTTAAATATATGACTTTATGCAGATTCTTTATGTCTTCTGAATTTCTAAATTACAGGTACTTCAGCCTTTGCATGTGACTGTACTGATGGCACAAATAATAGATGTTGGTATAAGGGGGATATATGTATTATGGATGTGTCTAGTTCAAGAGTGATTTGTACACAGTATATGTCTTTTATATGAGGATATATTTGTAAATAAAAGAAATTAAACACGATGTCTCTTTCCCTTTACTTCATGGATAAAATGTCCCTGATTTATCCCCAGTCATAAACAGAATGCTACTGTCAAGATAACCCGTGAAGGTCCGGGTAAGAATGAACCTTCAGTAACCCATGCTTGTCGTAAGAGGCGACTAACGGGATCGGGTGGTCAGGCTCGCTGGCTTGGTTGACACATGTCATCGGTTCCCAATTGTGCAGATCGATGCTCATGCTGTTGATCACTGGATTGTCTGGTCCAGACTCGATTATTTAAACCGCCGCCATATACCTGGAATACTGCTGAGTGCGGTGTAAAACTAAACTCACTCACTCACTACTGTCAAAATATCTGCTGTCACGACGAAAGTTGTGTATACTGCTTACTGCAAAAGGGGGCGGTGGGGTTTGCCTAGTGGTTAAAGCGTTGACTCGTCACGCCAAAGACCCGGGTTCGAATCCCCACATGGGTACTATGTGTGAAGCCCATTTCTGGTGTTCCCCCGACGTGATGTAGCTGGAATATTGCTAAAAGCGGCGTAAAACCGAACTCAGTCAGGCAGTTACTGCAAAAGAAAGTCTGACTGACCTGTGTAGTGAATGTTTCATACAGGCCTTTGTCCCTATTAATCATTTCAATTGGACCCCAGGACAAACGGCTAAGTATTAATCACCACTTGTTTTTCATTGGTTTCAAGAATAAAAATTTTGACACATTTGAAGATGTGTATATCAATTTAAATTTCCTCTGATCTGAGTATATCATATTCATTGACATCTATGGCATGTTCATGTGAACTATATACCATATTCATGTGGAGTTTTGTGTCATTTCCATTTGGAGCTATACCAGTATATACAGGTTCATTGAAGAAATGTTTGAATTTTGATGTCAAGGCTCATTTGCAACATGATTAAGTTTGACAATTTACTAATAACGATATAGCATGATCAACTTTGTTACTTTTGTATGGGTCAACCAGTGTAGATTCTTACACTATTATCAACATTAAAATATTTGAAACATGTTTAGATTCAGATTTATCATGTCATCGCATCCAAATTGTGTAGATCGATGCTCATGCTGTTGATCACTGGATTGTCTGGTCCAGACTTGATTATTTACAGACCGCCGCCATATAGCTGAAATATTGCTGAGTGCGGCATTAAAAAGACGCCAACCAAAAGATTTCTTTGAAACTATATATTAATACACATATGTCAAGATGAATTTGAATGTGGGCACAGTGTATATCATATTCACTGGAAGCTGTTTAAAATCATGTTCACTTCCAGCTTGTATAGCATGTTCACTTGAAGAGCTTTGTATAAACAGGCTGATGTCTGCCTTAAACAGCTACAGTGGAGGGAGCTTTGTGGGCAATGGTTTATATGTGTTTATATTAAAGTATCCAATACTTTTGGGTAAATGTTAGGTTTTTGTTCCTTTTGTGTGTACTCTGACATTTGTTAGACTTACATCTTTATCTTGTTGCAGACCTTGAGTTTGTTATTTTGATTTCTGACCAGACATTATTTACTTCATATGCCTTAGTCACAATATTTAAATATTTTTCATTTGTATGGAAGGGATTGGGGTAGCCTAGTGGTTAAAGCGCTATCCACCGCCGAAGACCAGGTTCGAATCCCACATGGGTACAATGTGTGAAGCCCATTTCTGGTGTTCCCCCGCCGTGATGTAGCTGGAATATTGCTAAAAGCGGCGTAAAACCAAACTCAGTCAGTCAGTCAGTCATTTGTATGGAGTAAGCCAACATTTTCCATTTTTTAACTCCTTTAATTTTGTAAATTTATCTATTTATTAGATTTTCTCATAAGTGATATTCCAACAAATAACTTACATGTGTATATTTACCAGATTTTGACTTTTTCTACCCAGTGCCAGATACTGTCTTAGTGCTAGATTATGATGTATAATAATAATTTGCATATTGTATGTAGACATGATAATGAGTCACAACGATGTTTGTGTACAATGTGGAATGGTTCAGTGGTGGGTTACATTTTGTTCTTAGAGAATCAGGTGGCTGGCTTCTTTGAATAAAAAGAAATGCTCAAGTGGTTTTGTCAGGGATACATTCATGGTACATTTATGTCATATATATGTTTGGTTGAGAAAGATGGTTGGATTATTTCATATATATTCAGACTCTTTACCTCTCTTCATTAACATTCTCAATCTATTTGAGGCAATATCAAATGAACTGATAAACAACATTATAGCTGCTGTATTCTCTGTTTGATTGCCCACAAAAATGCAGACATTTCTGTATCTTCAAAATGAAACGCAATACCATACTCACTCACTCACTTGTTATGGCAAGGACTAACTGAAATACTGGGCGGTGGGGTAGCCTAGTGGTTGAAGCCTTCGCACGTTACGCTGAAAACCCAGGTTCGATTCCCCACATGGGTACAATGTGTGAAACCCATTTCTGGTGTCCCCCGCCTGATATTTGCTGGAATTTTGCTAAAGCGGCGTAAAACTGAACTCACTCACTGAAATACTGTTTAAAGGTGTGCAAATGCCAAACTAAACTAAACTAAACCAAACTATATCAGTCATCATTTGGCCAGTAAAGTTGCTGCTCCTTAAATATATGACTTTATGCAGATTCTTTATGTCTGCTGAATTTCTAAATTACAGGTACTTCAGCCTTTGCATGTGACTGTACTGATGGCACAAATAATAGATGTTGGTATAAGGGGGATATATGTATTATGGATGTGTCTAGTTCAAGAGTGATTTGTACACAGTATATGTCTTTTATATGAGGATATATTTGTAAATAAAAGAAATTAAACACGATGTCTCTTTCCCTTTACTTCATGGATAAAATGTCCTTGATTTATCCCCAGTCATAAACAGCATGCTACTGTCAAAATAACCCGTGAGGTCCGGGTTAGAATGAACCTTCAGTAACCCATGCTTGTCGTAAGAGGCGACTAACGGGATCGGGTGGTCAGGCTCGCTGGCTTGGTTGACACATGTCATCGGTTCCTAATTGTGCAGATCGATGCTTATGCTGTTGATCACTGGATTGTCTGGTCCAGACTCGATTATTTAAACCGCCGCCATATAGCTGGAATATTGCTGAGTGCGGTGTAAAACTAAACTCACTCGCTCACTACTGTCAAAATATCTGCTGTCACGACGAAAGTTGTGTATACTGCTTACTGCCAAAGAAAGTCTGACTGACCTGTGTAGTGAATGTTTCATACAGGCCTTTGTCCCTATTAATCATTTCAATTGGACCCCAGGACAAACGGCTAAGTATTAATCACCACTTGTTTTTCATTGGCTTCAAGAATAAAAAAGGAATGAATTTACCAGGAATGTTTTGAATTTGAAGATGTCCTATTGAAAATAACCAGTAAATCCTTAGTGATACTGCTTGAAATTTCATGCATATGTATTTATGAAACCATATGGAGAAATAATGTTCAAGAGCTCTTGAAATACAATTCTCAAATCAGCTTAAGAAATATACTATCTGTGTTTCTTAATGAATGATTTCATTTCAAATTGTACAATTATCTATGCTGCTAGATGCACAGTAAGAGAAGATGGAAATATAAGCCAACAGTAATGCTTCCTTGCAGCTCAGTTAAAGCGGCGTAAAACTAAACTCAGTTGCGTAGGGAATTGGGTTTGCATATCACAAATCTGTATAATGAAGGGATTAGCAAAAATAAATGATTTGAATCAAACCTTTCAGTCCATGGGTGAATTACTGTGTGATGTCTGTATGACCCTGTTCAATAAATATATGTTAGGTCTAAAATGTTCAAAGATACCATTTCAGGGGTTAACAATGTTCTGTTGGGAGTAAATGCAAACCACAGTTCAAAGTGTTCCTTTATTAAGGTTCGCTCTCGTTCCTGAGCAATAATGGGTTTGGGTACATTTTTGTTTTATAGTAAATCATTAAAACTTAACAAGAACAAAGCTAAGGTTAATTATCTGAGTAACAATATTGCACTTTACCTCCAGAGGTAGAAACATGACCCCGTTTGGTCTCAAGCACCTGCTCCGCACCTCGTGTGGGTTATAGAAACAATGTCACTCCAGGGGCAGAGGTTTGACCTTGTTTGATCTCCACCACCTAGTCCGACGAACCACCCTTCCTTGAGGCAGTGGTAATGTGTACAGAACTTCCTCTCCTCTTGTTAACCTCAGACGCCAGTCCAGGAAGTGTTCCTCCACGGAGTCCACCCACGAAGTGTCAAGGCAGTTGGTGGACATCTGTTCGTTCCACTGTCTCCAGTCATGTCTGACCAAGGAGAATTCCAGCAGATTGCCCTGCTTCTTGCACTGATGGACACAGCGTTTGAGATATGACCTGGCGCAAAAGTTCTTCCCCTGAGTAGGGAGAAGTACGCTCTGAGGTGATACACACGAGGTCTCAAGCCAGGGTTCTTCTTCAAAGTTTCTTCAGGCAGTAGAATTCCTGGAGATGTAGATTACGAACATTAAGTTTTTGTAAAGGACAAAATTAGTACACATTTTTCACAATAAACATCGAGAATATATTTACACATGAACATCTCTTAAAAATGCTTTCAACATATCAACAGATCAAAACGCGCACATGCATACATACTCGCATGCACACACCATTTATGTACCTTTAGCATCAACACATTTGCATTCATTGCTGCTGCTCAAAAGAAGTGAAATGTAATTTATTTTATCATATAACTACAATTAATTTGACTGATGGTCATCTCATCATCTCAGGAACTACAGCAGTCACAGAGACGGCCTTCTTTTCAGTTGTTTTTATTGCCTAACGTGAAAGGGTACATGTCAAACACATTTCACGTTTTCTATTCAGAATCTTAGAAAGTCGCATTTTTTTAGAAGCTCATGTATATGGAAAGTAAAAATATTGGCAAACCACTTCAGTTGGACATGTTAAAGAGCTGTGAATGATCATTAAAAAACTTCGTATATATGTGAGAAGTACACCTCACCTTAACAACATCTGTCTTGATCCTGTCGTGCACCCAGTCCGTCCCCCTCTGTATCGCCCTGCACATTGCTAACAGCATGCACTCGACCTTCTTGCAGCGGGCACTCACAGTGATGTAGTTGTGTTCGCCCAGGTCGTAATGTTCCCAGTAGTCGAACCAGGTCTGGGCTGTCTCCCACTGGCCTCTGCGACTGTACCTGCAGATGAACAGCGTGGGGCATCAATTATAAACCGACATTTGTTGGTAGTAAAAGTTCTGTTCTGGAGAAACACGTCACAGGACTTGCATGCGTGTGTATTAGAATGGAGTTGGAATTTAATTATTTGCATTTAACATGTTTGCACTTGTCACCTGCCTTTATCACACCGGTAAAGCTGTTCATCTTAATCATGGTGCTGACAGGTCCGTGTCATGTTCGTAAAGACGCCGTGGTGGTTAGGCATAGATTTGTTGTTTAACGCCACACACGGTCGTCGGAAACAATAATCGAGTCTGCACCAGATAATCCAGTGTTTGACATCATGAGCATCGATCTACGCAATTGGGGATAGGATGCATGCAACATCACAACCAAGTCATGGTTTGGTGAACCTGACCACTAACCAATTCCGTTAGTCGCCTATTACGATGTAGTATATTTGTTTTTTGCAAATTTAATGTCCATTTGCAAAATCAACGATTGCATGGTTTGGCGTAAATTTAATGACACAGACAAAACCAGCCTTGTGAAAAATATTGGAGACGATGGCTGATGATAGATGCCTTTAACACCACAATTAACTATTAGTGAAAGGTTCATAGCATTCTCTTCCTTTTATAGTTCGGTCTGGTCATTCGATATCACATCTCTAAATTCTCCTTGCTCCTATTCATTAATGAGGTGAGCTTTCTTCCTTTGCATCAATACGGGAAGTAAGCTCAATACTCTCTTTTCCTTTGCCCGTATCCATGGTGAAGCAGACTTCCACTCTTTGTCCGTATTCAGGTGTCAGGCTTAATTTTCCTCTGGGGCGATGGGGTAGCCGAATTGTTAAAGTATTCGTACGCAGAAGGCCCGGGTTCGATTCCCGAAATGGATACAATGTGTCAAGCCCATTTCTGGTGTTCCCCGCTGTAATATTGCTAAGAGCGGCGTAAACGCCAACTAACTCTCTTTTTTTACCCCGTATTCAAACGTTAAAGTTGTTGTTTACGTGAAGTAAAGTATATCAGGAACTGGGAGCTAAATAAAATAATTTATAAGGCGCTAAGTTCAGGGACCACTGATCTAACTCGTGATATTTAAGAATAATTCTCATTGAGAACCTTCGCACACCACCAGTGGCAGTTTCTCACCAGACTGCTATACACATGGCGATGTAGTAGCGTGCCACATTGCCGTCAATGACGGCGTCGTAGTTCTTCAGGTAGACGCTTGCCTTCTTAAGACACATGAAGAATGTTTGTGTTGGGATCCCTGAAAGCAGAAGAGTGACAGGAAACATAAAACACTAATGACTCAGATAATTAACCTTAGCTTTGTTCTTGTTAGGTTTTAATGATTTACTATAAAACAAAAATGTACCCAAACCCATTATTGCTCAGGAACGAGAGCGAACCTTAATAAAGGAACACTTTGAACTGTGGTTTGCATTTACTCCCAACAGAACATTGTTAACACAAAACTCCTTCCATGAAAACTGCCTCCGTGGTGTAGTGGTTAGAGCGTCCGCCCGGAGAGTGGAAGGTCGCGGGTTCGATCCCCGGTCGCGTTATACCAAAAGACGTTAAAATATGGTACTTGTTGGTCTCTGTCTAGCGCTCGGCATTAATGGGTACAACAAGGACTGGTCGGCTCGGAGTCAGTATACTGTGTCTGAATGGGGTATTCATGCTTCACTGCGGCATGGTATCTCAGTGGGCTAGCACTATAAAACCAGCTTCAGTCTGGGCTAGTACAAGCAGCCGCACATACACATACACACGCATGCACGTCGTCATATGAGCGAAATATTCTCAAGCACGACGTTAAACCCAATTTCACCTCACCTCCTTCCATGAGAGTTTTACGGACTACTTCAAGCAAGAAACTTTGAACCGACTACAGCATAATTTACACGAGAATAGCTACGACAGCAGGAAACAATAATTTATTGAATAACGGTAAAGCATACTTTATAACTGATTTCTCTTCGTTACATTTCATGGATTAATAACTTAAGTGGCAATGAATTCAGACGTGTCCGTATGCTTTATTTCATGAGTATGCTTTATTTCACCTGGTGAGATCATGAGCTCCAGGGCGATGATGGTGCCCCAGGTGTTGACCCCCCACCCTTCGAGGTCCGCGTAGATCTCGTTCAGCTTCTCCAGAAGCTCCTGGCAGTCCTGGGTCCTGCTCAGACACAAGGTTCAGAATGTGGTCAGAGTGTCAGTGTTTGCTCTAAAGTGATCTGTTCAAAGCTATAACTTTGATTTCAAGCAGGTCCGGGATGTCTTTTCATTGCATATGTCCGATAACTACCCGATTGATTGGGACATCGTGCTTATGCACACATAACCTTTGCAACCTCTCGGTAAACATAAATTTCACTCCAAATAATTTCCAATGATTGACATGTTCTGTGATATGCAGCACTTTCATACAACCCTGTATACGAGAGTGAGTAAGTGAGTTTAGTTTTACGCCGCACTCAGCAATATTCCAGCTATATGGCGGCGGTCTGTAAACAATCGAGTCTGGAACAGACAATCCAGTGACCAACAGCATGCGCATCGATCTACGCATTTGGGATACGATGACATGTAAGTTAGCGAGCCTGACCACCCGATCCCGTTAGTCGCCTCTTACGACAAGCATGGGTTGCTGAAGATCAATTCTAACCCGGATCTTCACGGGTCCTGTGCAGGAGAGGGGCGGTGGGGTAGCCTACTGGTTAAAGTTAATGATCCGGGTTTGCCTGCCCACAAAGATACACTATTTGAAGCGTATTTTCTGGTGTCCCCTATGTGATATTACTGGAATATTGCTAAAAGCGGCGTAAGACCATACTCACAGTGCGTCACTGTACAACACTCGGCATTAATCCTCATCATATATCAACCAGATTAAAACAAACTTTTGTTAGAGACACTTTTTCAAGACACGTAATATTTTCCTACTGAAAGGAGACCAGCAACCTGAGGAACCGACAACACCATTCTCCAATCATAGCTAGGGGAAGATGATTGATTAAGTGTAGTTTTCATCAGATGCAAGATTTTTCGAAGTATTTTCTGAAACAATTTTTTCCTAAAACATTCTTTGGAGATATTCCTTCACCTGTTAGCGGCGAGGTAGGCCAAGGCCAGTATTGGGTAGATCCTCACTGTCAAGCGAGTGTGACTCATGTGTCCCACGATCTTTGCTGCTACTTCCCCTGAAACAAATTGTAATAAATAACAAATTTAGAACACGACTTGCATATAATGAACAGTGAAAACCCTGGTAACCGGACCCGAGCGTGTATTGTGAGGAGCGTTCAGAAGATGATATCAATACTTAACAACTGGTTATTTGTTGGCCAACACAATTTCATTGACACGTCCTACTTAAAAGTGTTACAATGTACATGTATTTGTATCGCATTTTAAACACATATCCAAGTGTATGTGAATGTCATCGGCTGTTAATGGAAACTTAGTACAGAGATTGAAATGCATCGGCCTGTTTTTAACCCTGAGCTCAATCACCGAGCTTTCTGCAAGTGCAAATAAACATCTCATAGCGTGCATTGAAATGTGCTCAGTTAATATTACCTTCCATGCGACGTGTTGGAAGTACAGTTTTATGTCACATGTACACGATGTGATAATCTGTTTGCAATGAAGTAATTAACTTTCGACATGGAACATTGCATGGTAAGTTGTCATAATGATGCAGAAAATGAGGTCCAGAAGCCAACGAAGCCAATGCTCACGAACACGTCAAAGGTATTGGATATCAGCAGATATTTAGATTGTTCTTACTAGTGGTGGTCCGATTAATTGAAATACTAGTGATCGAAGATTGGTCGCAAAGACTAAACGACCAAGCAATCGATCGTGTTTTCTCATAATCGAACACAAACAATTTTGGAACACTTGTTTGCATTAACTACCATTTTTTCACAAGGTTGGTTTTGTCTGTTACATTTCACAAGCACTGCAAGCTCATTCCTTGTCATGATTGAGTTATCCATGGAAATTTAGGATCATCCTTTAAGATGTGAAATTTGTAAATGCATTTTTGTGCAATTTGCGAAAAAACAAACCAGAAAAAGAACTACACGCTTTTTTCTATATTTCTGTGCATTAACAAACATAACCAAGAGAATTTGATAAATGAATCTAACCAATTATTTTCGATGGTTGATCGGTTGTAATGAACCAATTATCAATTGTGAGATGTTAACCAATTCCCAACACTAGTTCTTACCCCTGTCTATGGCCTGAGAGACGTTCCCTGCCGAGAGGGAGAGCAAGGCACTCTCACCCAGGGTCGTGGCCAGCGCCTTGACGTCATCATACAACAGTTCGTGACTTCGTGCACAGCATCTGAACAACACCAAACCTGAACAACTACTTACAGCTCTATACATCTGTATAACATTCAGTTGTGTGTAGATGTATGTGTGGACATGTGTATTATTTATGTGGAATATATGTAGATATTTGTTCTTGATAATGTGAAGATACTTGACGTCTGTTGTTCTTTATGTGAAAACATTCAGACATCTGACTGTTGCTGTTTTTGTGAAAACATGCACACGTCTGTTGTTGTTTATGTGGCAACGTGAAGATGTCTGTTGTGTATGTCGATGTCTGTTGTTACAGATGTTGTTTATGTTGAATACAGGTGTCTGTTGTTTATGTCGTGTCTGTTGTTAAAAGATGTTGTTTATGTTGAATACACGTGTCTGTTGTGTATGTGTTTTATGTCGATGTTACAGATGTTTATGTTGAATACACGTGTCTGTTGTTACAGATGTTGTTTATGTTGAATACACGTGTCTGTTGTTACAGATGTGAAAATGTGTAGTTTTCTGCTGTTACATTTGTGGAAACATCTTGATGTCTGTTTATTTGGATGACACATGTCAATGTCTAGTGGAATGTCTAGAAGCATGCAATTCTGTTTTTCTTTGTGAGAACAGGTGCGTCTATATAAAGTGTCTGCAGATTTTGAACATCAATTAATATGCATCCCAATATCAGGAAGCAAGTTACAATGCAAAGCACGTTTCTATCCTAAAATTCATTTCTTTTTCCCAACGTAATATATTCTTTTTTGGCGAAACATGCATAACAGCTTGTATCTTGTGAAACATACACATTTGTATCTTCAACGATACATGCATAACAGCTTGTATCTTGTGAAACATACACATTTGTATCTTCAACACTTTAACTTAAAAATACACCGTCAACTGCCATGTGCTGCTTGGACTTTCGCATTTTATAAACTGCGTTCCAGCACAAAAATGTTTTCATGTCATTATGCCACATGTTCATCAGAGAATTCTGGGATGTACGGGGTGGTGGGTAGCCTAATGGTTAAAGCGCCCCCGCCGTGATATTGCTGGAATATTACTAAAGGAGGCGTAAAACCATACTCACTCACACACTCTGGTTTGTACTTACGTTGCGTACAGCTCACTCTCCAGTCTGTGGGCTCTAGTAGACCAGGACCGCGCCCTACACGCCTCGATGATATGTATGTAACTCTCCAATACCTGAAGTCACCAGTATCTACATTTAACGTGATGTTCATCTTTGTCTTCCGGGAACAAACAAGAAAGAAGTTGTCTCTAATGCTTCAATAATCGTCCTAATCAGCCTCCCCAGGTGTTGACCCTACCACCCTTCGAGGTCAGCGTGAGATCTCGTTCAACTTCTCCAAGAAGCTCCTGGCAGTCCTGGGTTATAACTCAGACACAAAGGTTCAGAAGCCTGGTCAGTGTCAGTGTTTGCTCTAAAGAAGTAATCTGTTCAAAGCTTCTATAGCTTTGATTCCAAGCAGGTCCAGGATGTGTCTTTTCATTGCGCCTGTCCGATAACCACCCGATTGAGGACGGGACATCGTGTATGCACACAACCTTTACTGCAACCTCTCGGTACGGGCGAATTTCACTCCAAATGATTTCCAATGATTTGACATGTTCTGTGATTTGCAGCCTTTTCATACAACCCTGTATACGAGTGAGTAAGCGAAGTTTAGTTTTTACGCCGCACTCAGCAATATTCCAGCTATATATGGCGGTCGTCTGGAAACAGCAATAGCGTCTGGAACAGACAATCCAGTGACCAACAGCATGCGCATCGATCTACGCATTTGGGATACGATGGTTTGTGTCAACCAAGTCAGCGAGCCTGACCACCCGATCCCATTAGTCGCCTGTTACGACAAGCAAGGGTTGCTGAAGATCAATTCTAACCCGGATCTTCACGGGTCCTGTGCAGGAGAGGGGCGGTGGGGTAGCCTACTGGTTAAAGGTAATGATCCGGGTTTGCCTGACCACAAAGGTACACTATTTGAAGCGTATTTTCTGGTGTCTCCTATGTGATATTACTGGAATATTGCTAAAAGCGGGGTAAGACCATCATATATCAACCAGATTAAAGCAAATTTTTGTTAGAGACACTTTTTCAAGACATGCAATATTTTCCTACTGAAAGGAGACCAGCTATCTGAGGAACCGACAACACCATTCTCCAATCATAGCTAGGGGAATATGGTTGATTCAGTGTAGTTTTCATCAGATGCAAGGTGTTTCGAAGTATTTTCTGAAACAATTTTTTCCTAAAACATTCTTTGGAGATATTCCTTCACCTGTTAGCGGCGAGGTAGGCCAAAGGCCAGTATTGGGTAGATCCTCACTGTCAAGCGAAGTGTGACTCATATTGTCCCACGATCTTTGCTGCTACTTCCCTGAAACAAATTGTAAAAATAACAAATTTAGAACGCGACTTGCATATAATGAACGAGTGAAAACCGAGGTAACCGGACCCGAGCGTGTATTGTGAGGAGCGTTCAGAAAATGATAATAATGCTTAACAACTTCTGGTTGTTTGTTGGCCAACACAATTTCATTGACGTCCTACTTAAAAAGTGTTACAATGTATTTTGTATCGCATTTTAAACACATATCAAGTGTATGTGAGAAGTCATCGGCTGTTAATGGAAACTTAGTACAGAGACTGAAATGCATCGGCCTGTTTTAACCCTTAGCTCAATCACCAGCGAGCTTTCTGCAGAGTCTGAAATAAGCATCTCATAGCGTGCGTTGAAATTGTACTCCGATAAATATTACCTTCCATACGACGTGTTGGAGGTACGGTTTTATGTCACATGTACACGATGTGATGAAATCTGTTTACAATGAAGTAATTAACTTTCGACTTTAGTAAGGAACTTGTTGCATGGTAAGTTCGTCATAATGATGCGAAACTGAGTTCCAGAAGCCAACGAAGCCAGTAACCACGAACACCCGTCAAAGGTATTGGTTATCAGCGGATATTTAGATTGTTCTTGCCACCCTGTCTATGGCCTGAGGGCGATTCCCTGCCGAGGAGGGAGAGCAAAGGCGCTCTCACTTGGGGTCATTGGCCAGCGCCTTGACGTCATCATACGGCAGTTCGTGACTTCGTGCACAGCATCACGAACAACACCGAACCTGAACAACTACTTACAGCTCTATACATCTGTATAACGTACGGTTATTATGGTAAATGTATGTGTGGAAAAATAATACCGAACGTTTGCTGTTTATGTGGAATATATGTAAATATTTGTTATTGTTTATGTGAAGATACGTGACGTCTGTTGTTCTTTAAGTGGAAACATGCAGTCACCTGACAGTTGCTGTTTTTGTGAAAACATGCACACGTCTGTTGTTGTTTATGTGGCAACGTGATGATGTCTGTTGTTTATGTCGATGTCTGTTGTTACAGATGTTGTTTATGTTGACTACACGTGTCTGTTGTGTATGTGGAAACGTGATGATGTCTGTTGTTTATGTCGATGTCTGTTGTTACAGATGTTGTTTATGTTGAATACACGTGTCTGTTGTGTATGTGGAAACGTGATGATGTATGTTGTTTATGTCGATGTCTGTTGTTACAGATGTTGTTTATGTTGAATACACGTGTCTGTTGTTGTTTATGTGGCAACGTGATGATGTCTGTTGTTTATGTCGATGTCTGTTGTTACAGATGTTGTTTATCTTGAAAACACGAGTCTGTTGTTGTGTATGTTAACACATGTGAAATCTTCTGTTTTTAATGTGAAAATGTGTAGTTTCCTGCTGTTACATTTGTGGAAGCATCTTGATGTCTGTTTATTTGGATGACACATGTCAATGTCTAGTGGAATGTCTAGAAGCATGCAATTCTGTTTTTCTTTGTGAGAACAGGTGCGTCTTTATAACGTGTCTGCAGATTTTGAACATCAATTAATATGCATCCCAATATCAGGAAGCAAGTTACAATGCAAAGCACGTTTCTATCCTAAAATTCATTTCTTTTTCCCAACGTAATATATTCTTTTTTTTTTTTGGCGAAACATGCATAACAGCTTGTATCTTGTGAAACATACACATTTGTATCTTCAACGATACATGCATAACAGCTTGTATCTTGTGAAACATACACATTTGTATCTTCAACACTTTAACTTAAAAATACACCGTCAACTGCCATGTGCTGCTTGGACTTTCGCATTTTATAAACTGCGTTCCAGCACAAAAATGTTTTCATGTCATTATGCCACATGTTCATCAGAGAATTCTGGGATGTACGGGGTGGTGGGTAGCCTAATGGTTAAAGCGTCCCCGCCGTGATATTTGTATCCTGCATGCACATTATACAAGACTTACTATCTTTAAATGTCTCTGTAGAACGAGGTACACTGACCGTCTCGCTGGGTATGCTGGGTGTTTTCTATAGTACAATCTTCAGAAAATATATATTTTTCGTTTATGGAAGATCAAATTAACCATCTACAAACCACAGAATTCGGTGTGTTTGCAAGGGTTAAAGACCATGGTTTCAGTGTCAGTAATGACAGAGCGATGGTTGTCACAGAACCCGTTTGGGAATATTCGTCGGATAAAGACCATGGTTTCAAGGTCAGTAATGACAGAATAAGGAGTGACACAGAACCCGTCTGTGTGTATCCATGGGATAAAGATTATGGTTTCAGTGTCAGTAACGGCAGAAGAAGGATCGTCACAGAAACCGTTTGGGAGTATCCATGGGTAAAAGACAATGGTTTCAGTGTCGGTAATGACACAGGGATTGACACAGATCTCGTCTGGGAGTATCTGTGGGATAAAGATTGTGGTTTCAGTGTCAGTAACGACAGAAGAAGGATGTCACAGAAACCGTTTGGGAGTATCCATGGGTAAAAGACCATGGTTTCAGTGTCGGTAATGACACAGGGATTGACACAGATCTCGTCTGGGAGTATCTGTGGGATACTGATTATGGTTTCAGTATCAGTAACGACAGAGCAAGGACCAACACAGAAACCGTTTGGGAGTATCCATTGATTACGGAACTTTGTTTCATTAAAAGTGATGACGGAGATGCGACGGAGATGCAACGAACCTGGTGGATATGGACCTGCTTGCCCACAATGTTAGCGGAGTGTCTCCAAGCGTCCAGGATGAGGAGGTCGTTGTTACCCTGCTCCTTGTGAAGCCGACACAGGTCCCCCAGCAGGTGCCCGCGTTCTATCCTCCTCCGGCTGGCTGGCCTGAGTGAAAATGAGTTTTATTCCTACATTTCACGTATGAAGCTGGAACATGACACAGTACAATGTCTGGTCGTCAGATGTGGTTTATACATCCTACCTATATCATTTTCTGGAATATTGATTAATATTTTCAGGAAATGGTTTCATAGTTCCTCCAAGATTCTTCATCCCTTGCTGTTTTATCAGTTGGACAAGAGCAATGTAGGAACTTTTACCATAAAGTCGAGTTAATGACGGTATTCATATTTTGATTTTAATATCAATATTTCTTTTCAGTCAGAATTATGAGACACAAGCTTACATCGGGATGTATTCCTCTATGACTCTAACAATATATACTACCCATCAAAAGTTTAGACTCACTAAAAGCACTCACTATATGTTATGTATAGATAGTTACACCGAAGATGAATTTGTTCACTAGCTTGGGGGAACCAACTGCAAACCTTATGCAGATGAATTGCACAAGGATCATGCATCAAATTGCTGAAAAGCATGTGCAAATATCGTACATGTGAATTGCTGCGTTTTGGTGTGAGGATTTGTTAAGAATTCGTAAATTTTCACTGAGTTTCATCATTTATTGAACTCGTGACAATAATAATCTTTTCAACGTTACGAATTTGTTTTAATAACATAATAATAATAGTGGATTTGTATTGTGCCTTTTCCATATTTGGATATTATGCTCAAAGCGCAGTAAATGTCTTTTCCAATACATCAGTTCATGTCTAAACAGTACCGTTAAACCTTATGGAATATTTGGCAACATTTAGTTCAGAACAGTTGACTGAAGTAAGTGGCTACATTTACACTAGTGAGCCTAAACTCTTGATGGGTAGTATATTATCCTTGAAGTAGAGTAAATAGAGAATCTCACCCAAGTGTCTACTGATATCAATTATATCAACACGAGTTGATAAAGTTACAAATATCCGAGGCTTGCCGAGGATATTTTTACTTTTATCAACGAGTGTTGATATAATTGATATCATTAGACACGAGGGTGAGATTCTATTTATCATCAAATTCATTCTTCACTAGTTGTCAGTGAAAAATGTACATCTCTCAACACTGTACTACCATTAGACTTGCAGTGCAGCGATGTCATAGCATTGTGACGTCATCAAGTTGATGACGTCATAGCATTGTCAGGGCATTGTACAAAATCTACTGTCAAAACGATATCTCCTAGGAGATATCATATGATCTCACACAAGCGATATCTCCTGTGGAACACAGTATTGGATGATAAAAGCTTATACATTCACCGTGTTGATGAGGAGATTTGTCAAAGATGCTCGGTACAGAGCCTTTTTGCTACACGGATATCAAAGTGGATATCTGCCATAGAGCTACGTTTGTCTTGGGGTCCCTGCTTGAGATGAAGTTGTGGATGTCAACGGATTTTGGTCATACTGTTCCTTATCATGGCCTGAGTATAGGGACACTCTAAAACACGGCTGTAGCCAGTGTGACGATACGTACTTGAGGAGTCTGACGGATCCACCTTTGGTGAAGTAGATGAACTGTGGGAATGGCAAGAGTCTTAGTTTGAACATTTGGAATCGCAGGTCTGTCTTACTGGAGGGCTCCGCCATGTCCAGAAGCGACGCGGCCTCCGTCAGGTAGCCTCTAGTTTCGGGCAGTTGTCCAAGCTGTTGGAAGGCCTGAAGAGGAGTGGTTATTAGTTGAGACAGTACTGATCAATATTGAAGATAAATAACGCGAGTCAGTTTTATGAGGGAAGTGGGTGGGGAAAATGATGAAAGTTTACACTCGAACGACCAACTGAAATGGTCCTGTAAAACATTTACGAATCTGTGATTGGGAACATCAATCTTAGGTTCCAGGAACATGCTGACGAGTCAGATCTCACCTTTCCCATCAGACGCTTAAGGCCAGCCTCTATATCGTTGTAATTGTTGACAACCACTGTGGGCTGGTTCGACTCTGTCAGCTTCTTGAACGATGATTCTGTATCCGCCAACCACGACATTGCCTGCAGCGACAGTTAAGATACTCTATCATTTGGTGTCACTAGAATCTTGCTAGGGTAATAATCTTAATAGTATATACGTCGATAGATTTCTCCAAGGACAAGTATTTAAATAGGTCATGTGTCAACAGATTCCTGCTATTATTATTTGAAATATTATATATGTCAAACGATTCCTGCTCGGACAACTATCTAAACAGTTTAAACGTCAATAGCTTCCTGGAAGATGGATATTTGAATAGTTTATATATTCCTGCTACGATAATTATGACTAGTTTATACTTCTATGGATTTCTACTAGGATATTATTGATATAGTCTACACATCAATAGATTCATAACGGATAATTATCTGAATAGTTTATACGTCAATAGATTCCTGCTAGGATGATTATTAAAATCACAGAAATGTTTAAAGAGTTACTGTAAGTTCTTGTCAAATTCGCGTAGTAGTTAAAGCGTGTGTTCGTCACGTTCAAAACTTCGTTTCCGCCGATAGATAGAAGCGACAAAACCATTTCCACATTCATAAGAAATATCTGCACATTCCCCGCGTTCTATGCAGCTACGATGTAATATTGTACAGTAAGTTTAGAATTGTGTAATGAAATACTCACTCAGACTCCTATCCGGACGAAGCAACTATAATGCCCCGTCGTCAAGACAATCAACGAGTAACTCTTGATTTACGTATGCGTATTTTCTGACGTGAATATGTTTCAAAACATCGAAGTTATCTCCGGATTTTTACCCAAACAGTGCAAGTTCTTACCTGGCCATTCCTTTTCAGCACGAGAGACACCAGACCGGCTTCCGTCTGTGTGTCCAGCAGACTGTACATATCATCGGCGGAGTTGTAATGGAAGGCCATCCTCTCATACACCGGAAGTAGCTGTTCCAGAAGAGAGTTCCGGCGTTTGTCTATCACCGCGCCCTCTAGGATCAGATGCAGGTGGGGTAGCATCTCACTAATACGAAAACAAGACAAGACACTGCAAACTTGCTGACAAAGAATTTAGCAAGATTGACTCGTTCTGCTGCCTATGTAAAGGCATTTGTGGTTGAGAGGATCCTTCCATGTTTTTCAAAAGTTCTGTGCGTACCAATGCTCATGGATGCATCATCCAAATTCGTGGATTCCCCATCAATGTTCATGGATTCACCATCAACGTTCATGGATCCAGCATCAACGTTCATGGATTCACCATCAATGTTCATGGATTCACCATCAATGTTCATGGATTCCCCATCAATGTTCATGGATTCCGCATCAGTGTTCATGGATTTACCATCAATGTTCATGGATTCACCATCAGTGTTCATGGATTCACCATCAATGTTCATGGATTCACCATCAATGTTCATGGGTTCCCCATCAATGTTCATGGATTCCCCATCAATGTTCATGGAGTCACCACCAACATTCATGGATTCACCGCCAACATTCATGGATTCACCACCAACATTCATGGATTCACCTTCAACGTTCATGGATTCACCACCAACATTCATGGATTCCCCACCAACATTCATGGATTCACCATCAACATTCATGGATTCACCATCAACGTTCATGAATTCTTCATCAATGTTCATGGATTCACCGTCAACATTCATGGGTTCACCACCAACATTCATGGATTCACCACCAACATTAATGAATTCGTCATCAATGTTCATGGATCCAGCATCCACGTTCATGGGTTCACTCACTATAAATATAAACACAAACCACCTGAGTTTCTTTGGCACTTCTACCAACATTAAGAAACAATGAGAATCAAATACTGCTCTCACAGTACCAATGTTAAACTCCCTTATCAGCAATACCATTTGGGATCATATCTATTGTTACATTGAAACATTGTGATAGATTGTTATAGTTTATTGATATTTCACATTGTTTTAGCTTCAAACGAAAAAGATAATTGAAATACACTGACCCCGATTTTAGAATTGTCCGAAACCTTTCTGACGTCTCTTCATCAGTTAACGTCTTCTCCCTGTTTGTGTCTGCAACACATCATGTCCATTGCCACATGAGTACTGGGTAAAAAAGCTTAAAGAATGACCTTGCTATTACTTGACTGGCACCACGATAAAACCATTTAAAGTCAAATGAATTATTATTTGAAAATAATCCCATAAAACAAACATACGTTTTTCAACCGAGGATTCCTTGCGATTTTGGACGAACAGTTGAAAGGGTACATTGCTCCTGATGTCCTTGACACTCCGCGCAATAAACTCAGCAGCCTTCAGATGCAAATGCTGCTTCTGCTTGCCCATCAACATTTCCTGAGCAGTGTCCTTGAGCAGCTTATGCCGGAACATGAGCGAGTTACACATAACGCCCCCTTCTTCGCGGTCTCCTCGGGGACAGCAGCAACCCCCTCTGGCCCTCCCGGCTTCATCGCTTCGACCTGTTGACGGCATACGGGACGAGGCACTACTGCACGCAAACGTCCCGTTTTCATACAGCCTCTTGAGGGAGGTGCTGACCTTGAAGGTACTGGCCTGTGGGAGGACCTCCTCCACGCTCTGCCTCGTGAAGGGAGGGTCAAGAACAGCCGCACACTTCACGATCAGTTGTTCTGTAGCTCGCATAGAATCTATCCTTGCTATAACCAAATCTGTAAAATAATTTAAACAGTAAACTGACTAAATGAATGCTATTTTACCGCCAGTCAGACTTTATTTCACGGCGGTCGTGACATAATCAGTTCTGGCCCAGATAAACTTGAGGTTGATATCATAAGCAACCAATCAGGTCATTCGGTAACATTGTCATGCCATCACCAACGTCACTATAGTAATAATAACAATAATATTAATGTGTCCATTTATATAGCGCCAAACTCCACACTAGGTATGCTCATAGCGCTAACAATCAAGGCACAGCACATTATTACCCCGGATAACCCAAGCTGCCTTTTAGGCGCTAGAAGGTTATAGTCATATGACTTTTCCACCGGGTACCCATTTTCCTGCTGGGTGAACAGAGACAGTTTTGAACAAACTCACTTGCCTAAGGTGAGACGACATGTGTCACATGTGCTTCGTTGTGGGACAGGACTCAAGTCCTAGAAACTCTCAGGAGTCAAGCTGCCAAACACGGTCACCCATCCAAGGACTCTCCGAGCTCGACGCTGCTTAACTTCACCGATTTGTGACCTGAGCTTTGAGCACAAGACCGCGCGCCACCACCACTAACAGTCATTAGTGAACTATAATGGCAAGCATTGATTGCTGGGCATCACTTCTAACGAAACGGCATAAACCCCAATCATTCGCTCATTCATTTCTCCGAAGTCATTACTCTCGGTTAACATTCAAATATTCAATCTGTCCTGAATGGATGAATCTGCATACCTTTCATCGCCTCAGGAACTTGAATGTCGTCGGTCGTTTTCCCAGGTGCCATGACACACGTTCTCATCTCTAAAGTGTCCTTCACCTTGCTCTTAGCAAACTTAAAGCCAAGGTCAGCAAGCGCTTCCTCGTGACTTTCCTCGTGTGATATTGAGTCCTGGGTTTATTAAAAAGACATATGTACATTTAGAACACTGCGTCGGGTACAGTGTTTGCCTTATGACCCCGTCTCCGTGAACTTTCGAGACGGACGGGGACACTTTCGTATTGAGTGAGTGATCAATCATGTTTGATGCACACTTATGCATGTCCCTGGTAGGTTTGAAAAAGACAAACCGTTTAGCCATATCAATCTCATGAATATTTCGTAACACTTGGAATTAAACTGTAACGTCTACATCCAAATCCACTTTAAATTACTTCAATTATTTGCAGTGTGTTTTCTGTTTTGTATATTTGTTGTTAAAAGCCACACGCAGCAATATTTCACCTATATAGCGGCGGTCTGTATATAATCGAGTCTGGACCAGACAATCCAGTGATCAACAGCATGAGCATCGATCTACGCAAGTTGGATACAATGACATGTGTCAACCTAGTCAGCGAGCCTGACCATCCGATCCAGTTCGTCGCCTCTTACGACAAGCATGGGTTGGTGACGATCTTAGTATCCGTAAATATAAGTACGCTAAACTTACGATGTCGGCATATCTTACAGCCCTTATCGAACGTCTCCGCTCAATGGCCTTCCCGACAGGGGTTAACTTGGTGATGAAAGCCTGCTTAGGGGCAACGACTGATGTCCTGAAGGTGTTGTGGGCGTTGTCGCTGTAGCGGATGAGGATTTGGCGTTTGTCGTACATGTCCCGGAGAAGCTGTTCCACCCATGACGGAACGCCGTGACTCATGTCCCGTAACAACCTGTAAGTGCAGTAGCATTATAACAACAGCAGCAGCAACAATAAACAACAACAACCACCTAATATCGGTCACTTCATAGTCTTATCCGGACTCGACAGTTTAGTTCTGTAAACATTTACCACTAATGTCCATTTCAATCCAACATAAACCCCTATTGTCCATTTCAATCCAGCATAAACCCCTATTGTCCATTTCACAATAACACTTACCACTATTGTCCATTTCACAATAACATTTACCACTATTGTCCATTTCACAATAACATTTACCACTAGTGTCCATTTCACAATAACATTTACCACTATTGTCCATTTCACAATAACATTTACCACTATTGTCCATTTCACAATAACATTTACCACTATTGTCCATTTCACAATAACATTTACCACTTTTGTCCATTTCACTCCAACATAATCCCATTTTGTCCATAGCACAATAACATTTACCACTATTGTCCATTTCACAATAACATTACCACTATTGTCCATTTCACAATAATATTTACCACTATTGTCCATTTCACAATAACATTTACCACTATTGTCCATTTCACTCCAACATAAACCCATTATTGTCCATTTCACAATAACATTTACCACTATTGTCCATTTCACAATAACATTTACCACTATTGTCCTATTGTCCATTTCACAATAACATTTACCACTATTGTCCATTTACCACTATTGTCCAACAATAAATTACCACTATTGTCCATTTCACACTATTGTCCACAATCACATTTTACCACTATTGTCCATTTCACAATAACATTACCACTATTGTCCATTTCACAATAACATTACCACTATTGTCCATTTCACTCCAACATAAACCCATTTTGTCCATTTCACCCAAACATAAACCTGACATACAGCACTAAAGCAGTACAGTTCCATGGCTCCAATGGTCGGTAATATCAATTTAATACATACATTTACCATTAAGGGCAATTTCATCGCTACATTTACAACTAAATACAGATTCATATCTATACTTAAGGACAGTTTCGTACTCACATGTACCGTTTCAACCCTATATTTAACACGGGTGTCGTGCTTAATGCACGAAGTGAGAACAATCAGAAACGTGTCAAGTGTGTGTTAAGGGATAGCATAGATTTTCATAGCACAGAAATGGCCATTACGAATACAGTAAACACTGTGTCATGACAACTGGTGAATTTACCTGGGTGCCAAAACAACAAGGTGATCATAACTCCCACACCTTAACATAGACTTACGACAGTCTCAGCTATAAGATTGCTTTGTACAACGGCACCTATAGTCTGTTTGCAGTGAAAACGTACCGGTGAATTTCACTTTAAACAAAAATGTAAATCGAATACAGAGAAATTAAGATTGCAAATCCTCATAATTCTACCTTGCCAATATAAAAAATAAATCTTAGATTTTTATTCAACTTAGGAAAAAAGTTGTTTAACAAACGATCATTGTTTAAAATCGCTTATATTGGTTTGTATTACAATGGGGTAAGCGCAGTAGTAAGAACAGTGAAACAAATGCACGTGCGGTACGTGATGAGCGTTAACTTAGACCAACCCTCCTTGTTCTCGGTGTTTCAGTTAATGTGCATACCCCTTGTCAAACAAACCAATAATACCGATTTGAAACTATGATCGTTTATTAAACAACTTTTATCCTAAGTTGAATAAAAATCTGAGATTTAAATTTTGAAATGGCAAGGTAAAATTATGAGGATTCGCGATCTTAATTTCTCTTTATTTGATTTACATCTTTGTTTAAAGTGAAATTCATCGGTACGTTTTCACCGCAAGCAGACTATAGGTGTTAATCGTTTCCTAAATATGAACAAATGGCAGTTACACCGATACGTAACACAGATAATAACCTTGTTAATCGGTTGTTTGATGTACCCCATTATCTGTCAGTCGTGACAAAACTGTTGAAACATCTTTAAGTGTTGGAACTTTCGAAAAAGAGATTACTCGGGGGAGATAATCCTGTATTCTTTGTAGGTATTGTTCTACATATTCAACATCATCCTGGGTTTGAGTGTTCACACAGAAAATGGTCAATAGACAAAGATAAGTGGTTATAAGCGAATTCTGAAATGAATACTGGTGTTGGTTCCCGACTCACTTTTCCAAACCCTTGGGGATACTGACGACCTCGAGCACCTGACACGCCAAGGCGGACACAAGGGAAAGGTCAAGGCCGTACACATCCGTCACAAGGGACGTCTTCTCGTTAAATACACTTTGAGCTTCTGGACACGGGGGGTTCTCTATAGCATTCGGTCTAGTAGACAGGGTAAGGAGACAATGAGAATGGTCAATCAGCGCTCTGATACATGGCCACGACTCCTTGTCACAAAAGTGCATGTCGTCAACGATGAAGGCGGTCGGACCCAGAGAGTCAAGGCACTGAAAATTGAAAAGTTATTGTACTGAGCGAGTTTGTCATTAAGCTCGTATACAGACTGGAAGCAAGGCTTGTTTTCAGTATCAGTTAAATATATGATGTAAACATCCCATGGTATTTCCCTTTCTGTCATCTAGGTTTGTAATCTGTGGATCTTATTTGTCATACTTTGAGCACTAGAAGTACCCAGCTCCAAAGTCTATTCTTTTATCTTGTGGAAGTATATTGGTATCTTTTTGACACCAATGGTTCAGGATCTGATTTTTGAAAAACAAAATTACACATGTTAATCAGTCTAAAACCGAAAAATCATAAGATGTAACTTTGTCCTTATAGTTGTAAAAGACAATAATTTAATTGGATCCAGGTGCAGTGATTTATTTGCCTCACAGTAATCCAAAACTCCCTTTGGACATGATCCGTTGTATTTCTGCATCATACGCATGTTGTGGTGATTCACCAAAGTTTCACTGCATCACTTTGGATGTTCCTAATACAATAAACTCATTCACTCGTATAGACACTCACCATATGCGTGAGGAATTCAAAGACCTGCACCCGGGCGGTAACAGATGCTTGATTCATATGCGAGGCTGGTATCGGCTGCAAGAAAGGGATCACAGTTGGATTAACAGGTGATTATGTTCACAGTAGGTATTCCATTGGACCGCTCACAATAACAATTTACGTACTGACATTCACGACGATTAGATTTTGTGTTGATGTTTGCTGCGGCTGTGCTCAGAAATGTTCCAGCTATATGACTGGGACCTGTGCATAATCGTGTCTGAACCAGAAAGACCAATGTATGACATCATTAGCGCCGATCTAACTGGATGCAAGGACATTCATCAACCAATCCTTACCGCCAATCCACACAAGCATGTGTGTCTGTATAATAATGTTCTAACCGGATCTTCGCGAGTAAGGGCAATTAGCTTCCACCAAATGTGGATTCAAACAAGAGTGTCGGGCCAACTCTGGATACCCAATCGGCCCCGACTACTGAGGGGAATGGTGATAATTGCAATGGCGTTAATGAGGACTACACCAGTCTACCTTTGTGGACATCAAGTCGACAACCGCTGCGATATGCTGGTCCATGCCACACAGCCTCATGGTTTCCATGACGGCGGGTTCCTTCTCCACCTTTTTCGAGTAGCCGCAACTCGACAGCAGCATCCGGAGAAGATGCCTGGCTAGGAAGTACGGTGTGTTGACGTTCAGGAGGTTCGGGCTGCAGCTAATCACTCTGTGGTGGAAATAACATGTAGTGGCATATGCTTTTATTGATTGTTTGTTGTTAAACGCCGCACTCAGCTATATGACGGGAGTAATAAATAATCGAATCTGGTCCAGACAATCCAGTGATGGACATTATGAGCATCGGTCTACGCAATTGGGAAATGTTGAGCCTGGCAACCTGATCCCGTTAGTCTCTAACTAACAACTAGTCTCTGAAATGAACATATTTTACTGAAAAAAGTTCATAGTAAAAAAAAAATATAATATAATGAAAAGGAGCCCTGAGACTTTCTTCATTTTCTGAAGCTGAGGAAATCTAGACTTGCCACATTTTCTAGACTTGCGTGGGCTTTCTTGGATATATTTGCTTCAGGATCTGTACGACAGACTAGTCTCTTACGATAAGCATGGGCTGCTGCAGGCCCATGAATGATTGAATGAATGGATGAATGAATGAATGAATGAATGAATGAATGAATTCACTCCCTCACTCACTCATTCATTGTTCTATCTGTATTGTATGTTAGTTTGACTGAAAACGACAGCAACAGTCTGTCCTGGTCCACGCTGACGGAGAGACAATCTGAACGCCAGCTCAGCCTTATGACATGTGATAAAGTAATATGTATCTATCCTAACCCCTGTCGGTTTGGGAAACAGGTCACATTGACAAAGACACCGAATAGCCGAGGACATTTGGAACATATGAATATTATCAGCACGGACAATGTATGATTTATTTTGTGAGTAAATGGTGCGTTTGGTTACATTATGAACAATTTGTTAGCTTTATCATGGTGTGTCAGCGAAATATCATGTAAAAGTGTGCAGGACGAATCAATGTTTTTATTAAAGAGAGAGTTGGATTCGGACACACAACCAGCGTATCCTGTAAGTTTGACTCTTCATTTTGTAAACCAGCAGTGCTTCGATGGGCTGACCATGTACATAGCGAGCACCGGGCCTCGAAGCTCACGAAAACTGGAGGGATACCCGTGACATACCTGTTTGTGACATACGTGAGAATCGCATGTAGCACACCTGGAAAGTATAACTGTTCAGCTGTAACATACCTGAGCTGAGCCAGGGCATGACATAGATCCGGTTCATGCCATACCAGGATATGACATACACCATGTTTTCGTGTTTAAAGCCGATGTACTGGGGATCATAGAGCTGAAGTGATAATAACTGCCATACTTAACACAGGCATATAGTCGTAGTGCTGACAGCGTCGTTGTAAAACGGTACGTAATGACGTACCTGAAGTTCTCCCGTGACACCGGGACATGACATACATGAAGTAATGCGACACACCGGGACATGACGTACCTGTGGTTCTCCTGTGACACACCGGGACATGACGTACCTGAGGTTCTCCTGTGACACACCGGGACATGACGTACCTGAGGTTCTCCTGTGACACACCGGGACATGACGTACCCAAGGTTCTCCTGTGACACACCGGGAAATGACGTACCTGAGGTTCTCCTGTGACACACCGGGACATGACGTACCTGAGGTTCTCCTGTGACACACCGGGACATGACGTACCTGAGGTTCTCCTGTGACACCGGGACATGACGTCCCTGAGGTTCTCCTGTGACACACCGGGACATGACCTGAGGTTCTCCTGTAACACACCAGCACCTGACGTTCTCCTGTGACACACCGGCGCATGACGTACCTGAGGTTCTCCTGTAACACACCAGCACCTGACGTACCCAAGGTTCTCCTGTGACACACCGGCGCATGACGTACCTGAGGTTCTCCTCTGACACACCGGGGCTTGAGGTACCTGTGTTTCTCCTATGACAAGCCAAGACATGACATACGAGAGGTTCTCCTATGACACACCGGGACATGACGTACCTGAGGTTCTCCTGTGACACACCGGGACATGACGTACCTGAGGTTCTCCTGTAACACACCAGCACCTGACGTACCCGAGGTTCTCCTGTGACACACCGGCGCATGACGTACCTGAGGTTTTTCCTGTGACACACCGGCACTGTGACACACCGGGCTTGACGTAAGAGGTTCTCCTGTGACACACAGGCGCATGACGTACCTGAGGTTCTCCTGTGACACACCAGCAGCACCTGACGTACCTGAGGTTCTCTGTGACACACCGGGGCATGACACACCTGAGGTACCTGTGTTTCTCCTATGACAAGCCAAGACATGACATACGAGAGGTTCTCCTATGACACACCGGGACATGACATACCTGAGGTTCTCCTGTGACACACTAGCACCTGACGTACCCAATGTTCTCCTGTGACACACCGAGGCATGACGTACCTGAGGTTCTCCTGCGACACACCAGCACCTGACGTACCTGAGGTTCTCCTGTGACACACCAGCACAGACGTACCCAAGGTTCTCCTGTGACACACCGGGACATGACGTACCTGAGGTTCTCCTGTGACACAGCAGCATCTGACGTACCTGAGGTTCTCCTGTGACACACCGGGACATGACGTACCTGAGGTTTCTCCTGTGACATACCGGGACATAACGTACCTGTGTTTCTCCTGTGACACACCGGGACATGACGTACCTGTGTTTCTCCGGTAACACACCGGGACATGACGTACCTGTGTTTGTCCTATGACACACCAGGACATGACATACCTGAGGTTCTCCTATGACACACCGGGGGCGGTGGGGTAGCGTAGTGGTTAAAGCGTTCGTTCGTGACGCCGAAGACCCGGGTTCGATTCCCCACTTGGGTACAATATGTGAAGCCCATTTCTGGTGTCCCCCGCCGTGATATAGCTGGAATATTGCTAAAAGCGGCGTAAAACTAAACTCACTCACTCACTATGACACACCGGAACAGGACCTACCTGAGGTTCTCCTGTGCAGCTAGAAAACACAGAGCATCGAGCAGCCTCGTCTTGCCCATCCCTGCTGACCCCACGAATACAAGATGGCGGTGTTTGACGTTGTCGTGAATATTTTGGATCTCTCCCAGGAACATTTGCTTCTCCTCATTCCGTCCTGCAGAACAGTGGAATATTAAATCTCTAGCTGTTTTCACAAGGTCGATTTGTTGGAAATAGTTCTACGCGAATACAATGGGATACTGGTTTCTGTTTTTTTTCAACCAGTACTAGCAAATTACGTTTCTTCATATTAGGACATATAAAAAAAAAGTTCTTGCTTCTCATCACTTTTTCAATAAAATATGGGTCGGGTGAGCGGATTTTATTTTCACATTTTATTTTATTTTATGTAAAAAAAACCCTTTGATTTCTGTGGAAATTTACACCTTTTCTTCAATAGAAAATCAAAACTTAGAAGTGTGAAAAAAGCATGCACATTTTGAAAGTGATTTTTTCTCTAGAGTAAAAAATCTAAAAAAATATTAGGGTCAGGTCGAATGTTTTGGGTCGGGCGTTAATGAGAGACAAAAATATTGTTCTATGTAGATTAAGTAAATGGTGTTGATTATACGTGAATGTTACATTAAAATCAGTATTACATGATATTTGGTATCTCACCCAGCAGTGGGTACTCGAAGTACGGAATGCTGTTCTCAATTTCGGAGCTGTCTCTGTCAGTATCAGGTAGACTGAACTCACGGATGAGTCCAATATTCCGCAGACCTTTCATTCGTTTGGTAACCAAGACAACGAAGTTTTCGGGTGGAAGACGACACGACTGGAAAGTGTCGTCATCACACGTGACTTTGTTGGGGTAGTGCATCATGAGCCTGGCCGCCATATTGACTTTCCGTCCAATCACTATATGGACAAAGGGAGAACTAGATGAGTTGTCTTCAAGTTTCAGTCACTGGCATGTGAGCATTACGGCAGCTCTTAGTACGTATCCATGTTGTCTGTCCTGCTTGAAGGTGTCTCTTCGTATGCACCTATTCATGTTAACAGCCCAGCCTAGAGGTTGTCTTTCCACATGCACCTATCCATTTTAACCCTGATGTTGTCTCTCCACGCGCACCTATTCATGTGAATAACCCAAGCTAGAAATTCTCTTGACACACGTACCTATTCATTGTTTACCTTCCAGTTGTCTCTCCACATGCACATATTCATGTTTTTGTTTGTTTGTTGTTTAATTCCAGCTATATGAAGTAAATAATCGAGTCTGGACCAGACATCCAGTGATCAACAACATGAGCATCGTTCTACGTAATTGGGATACGATGACATGTGTCAACCAAGTCAGCCTGGCTACCCGATCCTGTTAATCGCCTCTAAAGACAAGCCTCTAAAGACCATTTCTAACCCGGATCCTCAAGGGTCTATTGTGTCTCCACATGCATCCATCCGTGTTAACCGCCCAACATAGACATTATCTCGACACATGTGTCTATTCGTGTTAACCTAGACGTTGTCTCTCCACATGCACCTATTCGTGTTGTCAGCCCAGCCTAGAAGCTGTTGACTACACATGTATTTGATGACCACAAAACTGGTTTGAGTAATGCGACCAAGGAAAGGTTGCAGTTAGTTGTATCAGGATGACATTACGCAGCTGACATATGTCAGCGTGACATGGTAACACGTTGAACAGACCCAACCTTAAACCAATTTTCCTTACACTGGTGTTTAGTTAACTTGAAAAGCAGACGCTATATAAATACAAAGTCTTCCTCTAACATTTAACGGGAAATGAAGAAACGTGTATATTCCGGGTGAAAAATTACAAAGCATCTGCTGGAGAACATCTTAAAGGCACTATATCACATCACACTTCTCTAAAAATAAATAATGCATTTCTCTCAATACTACTACAGCCCTCTGGGAAGCTACCATATAATTTATTCAAAAAAATAAAAATAAATAAATAAATACACACTACAATTTTAAATTAAAAAGTCGACTCTCACTCCCTCTACTGGCCCAACATCGTTTCAAGCTAACCCCGTAGAGTTATGTCCCTTAGAGCGCTCTTTACGAATATCCTACTCACAACTTGTGAATGAAACTAATTCGGCACCGACAACACCGCGTGCGACAGTTTTCGATGTACGGAGCAATTGTTTTCATTCCATTTGTGGCAAGTGTTTTCTGTTTGGAAGCTGTTCGCCTCGAAGTTTCAATTATCAATTTTAGGCGAGTCGTGAGGGATGATGAGCTTTTTATTTTGCATTAAGCTTTAGGAAGCTAAAGTGAGTGCATATGCCCCAATATATATAATATTAGCCAAATATTGTCAAGAATGTGTGACATTGTGCCTCTAAACTTGATGTACATGTACAGTGAACACTCGATAACCCGGGAACCGTTAATCCAGAAAGTGTGGTTACTATTGAAGACACCCCTTTAGACGGACATTATGAATGAGTGAGTTTTACGCCGCTTTTAGCAATATTCCAGCAATAACACGGCGGGGGACACTAGAAACGGGCTTCACACATTGTACCCATGTGGGGAATCGAACCCGACATTACAAGTGATGAAAACTACAGCACCACACAATTCGCGCCGTTTGTTGTGTGTTCTGATACGACAGTTTTCGATGTCTATCATTCTGTATGTTCTCTGAGTCGCCTCGAAGTCTAGGCGAGTCGTGAGGGATGATGAGGCGCTTTAGGAAGCTAAAGTGTGCATATGTCTATATGATATTGGCAAAAATATTGTCAAGAATGTGTGACATTGTGCCTCTAAACTTGATGTACATGTCTGATAACCCGGGAACCGTTAATCCAGAAAGTGTGTTACTATTGAAGACACCCCTTTGACATTATGAATGAGTGAGTTTTACGCCGCTTTTAGCAATATTCCAGCAATCTGTCTCGAACCCGACATTCAAGTGATGTAAGGTATTATGCATTTTACGTGTTGCTTATTGCGTCTTATTAGCTATTTCAGTCTCCATAATAATATAACAATTTATGTAATTGTTATTGTTTTTCATAAAAGGATGTGTGAATAGTTACAAGACTTGCATAGTTATGTAATCTCTTCCTTCTATATTAGATTATCTACTACACACATGCATACACTCCTGTCTGTCTGTATAAACATGGCTAAAACGGATTGTTTGGCATTGGATGGAAAGGGGGAGCTTACCTGAGTATTCGTGACGTCGTGCATGGCCAACCACGCCACAGAATGTCGTCCCCGTTGTTACCCCAATTGAAACTCGTCTGAAAGAGACAAAGAGTACTGTTCTTTACAGGTGTCACACATTCTAATTAACACAACACCTTGGCTTTGTTTTCGTCCCTGCACAGCTTTGTTGTTTTCGGCTATGTTTGTTTAACGGTAAATATTGGCACTGAACTGTAAACACATCAGCGTTTCACGAGAAACTTGCAACACATGGGAACGTAGTGTCGTTTAATTGTATACGTTTCTTCGTGCCCTTGGTCGGATTTATACAGTTGCATGCATATATTAATTAAACTTGTGTTGGGAGACGACAAACCTTGTGCATTATATCGTCATTTGATTACATGTATTCAGAGCTAAGTACCGATAACTTTTTGGGTCATTGAGTTATGTACTCGCTTGTGTTCCATCTCAATTGGTTATCCTAATTTTCCTTTGAGTAACCAAATATACTGTACCCACCTCAATCCAACTCAAGTTGGGTATTTTGCCATTTTCCATAAATTTGTATAAAAATAATAAGTTTAAATGTCGGTTTACGTGTTTGCTATTCATATTTGATCTGTAATATGAGAAACGATAAGAAAGACTGCAAGTAGCCAAGTTCACATGTTGAAATAAAACATCTCAGTATACCTCAGTTATTTTATCTAACCACCGGTACGCAAGCTAAAATTTGACATTTACTTGTGTACGCATGTAAGATCAAACTTACTGAGTATTTTCTAAACTTCAAGCGTACTTGTACGCAATAGACTTAATAGGGGTTTTCATATAAATATCAGCTTATCTGTACCTCTGCGTCAATTATCTTTTCGTCCTGGATGTACAGTAATTACATTGTAATTACTGTACATCCAGGACGAAAAGATTATTGACGCAAACTGGAAGTGTAGCTAATAATTACTCATATACATGTATGTATCAGAAAACACTGACAAAATTAAAATTATTTTTTGTTTTGTCCATATTTCCTGACATATTACGTATTTAACATGGACACAACCTATGAAGTCATGTGACTAATATTCTCGTCCTTCTATGCATTGTCAGAACTGGTGACGTGGTGATATAATTCACTTGCAACCCTAGAATGTCAAATTTGAGGCAGTGTTCAGCTGAAATAATTGTTCAGTTAAAACGCTTGTCAAGAAAATGATTTATCATTTGTTTGAAGTACAAGTTACTGCTGACCTAATCCGGCATGTAACGCTAATGACTTTTTATTTCGATGTTGGTTAAAAGGAAACGTGATTTGCATAACAACGCATTGCAGAATAACAGTTATAATAAGATATTCATATGAAACACAATATACAAACAAGGAAATTGTTATATTACTATCGTACGGAAGTACCGGGTTATCAGAAAGGTCATTTTCTTAACCTGTGTTTAAACACGTGTCACCACAGGCTATTGTAATGTTGTTCACGCACACAATGTACAGTTCAACCAAGCGGAGACGTCTTTCACAAAGGTCCATTCAGATGGGCTTATGGTGCGACTCAAAGCGGTCCCGCGGTATATAGGTGGGTACACATACCCCTTCTTTATTTAACCAACGATCGATAAATTCACCATAGCATGTTGAAGTCATGAGGGGAGATCTTACCGTGACACGTTACAGTGAACTCAGTGGAAAGTAACTGGGAGTAGTTTGGGATTAGTACAAGCTGTGCATCTGATTAGTGTCATGTTTTAATCCTTGTTAGACCGGTAATGGTTTAATCTGATGTAATTCCTGTACATCCAGGACGAAAAGATTATCTTGCCCCACTGACCCGCTGGGAAGGAGTCAAGACAGGAGGTATGACTATGCAGAAGATTCTAGTTACTGTGGATACGCTGACAAAGGACACTTAAACAGAAACCTGACGGATATGTTGCGCTCCAGTGAATTTTAGAAGGTCGTTTTGCCCTGTTGGATTATATGTTCCTGTTTTCAGCTTTCCTTAGAAAGCCCCAGCGTTTTTTCTCGGAGTTTTGTAGCTGCAAGCCCAGCCCCCCTGGTGCAAGCCCTGGATTCAATCATGACAAGTATTGATAGCTACATGGCAGGTCAAGCGAGTCCGTTGGAAGATGACGAGGGGTTTCAGACTCCGCCTACCTCCCGCTACCAGTCGTCTGCTAGCCTCGCCAGCAGCGCGAAGAGCGTGTACCTGTCCGCTTTGGATCTGTACGAAGGGGCAGACGAGATGGATATACCAGCAGACGACATCGAAGAAACGGGAGTGCCGTCCCAGGACGGAGAAGCAGGTAAGACTGAGATTTACTACTCTCCTCTGGGAGGAAGCGACGACGATGAGAGGCACGACGCGAATGACGACCCATACCATGTTTCTGAAACGGCACCCCTCACGAAAACAGGGAACGGGGAGCTAGAGGACGCTGGACCAAATGCTTCCGTGCCCGAGGTTGGTAATGACGAGGGCGTATGTGGATGCAGTTGTCTCATGTGCAGCCTTCGCCAAAGAGCTAAACAGGTGATCGACTCAAAATGGAAATATCTTATTTCTGCATTGAAGTGCAGTGACCTAAATTGCCCCAACTATGACAAACTCACTCAGGGCGAACTGCTTTCCTGGTTGGATAATCACAAAGAAGGGGACACGAACATAGACTTCGTGCAGAGGTGTTATCGTAGAGACAAGCCTTGGTGTAACACTATTCAAAAGGAGCAGAGTCAGCTATTTTTCTTCTTCTTTCTATTAGTGAATGACATCTACAAACTATCTACCAGTGATAACGGACAGAACGCGAAACATGAAACGTACCCACATCATGATTCCTTCTTGAACTGGATGCAAGAAGTGGAACACGTCCTGGAAATCCTCCTCCAAGCTTCCTTTACTCATGTAGATTCATCAGATTCCGATTTGGAAAAAATAGAACGACCGTACACCGTGCTAATCACGATCCAAGAAACGCATCAAAAGAAAGACTACATTGGCATCTCCTTCGAGGACAGCGGTCTCGACCCAGCTGTTGATGAGATCAAACTTCTAAAACGAAAGTTAGCAGGAACGCCGACAACTTTGCAGAAACTGTTTGCCATGGCAGCCATTGTTGTGTTTTTGGCAGACATCGGAACTGATGTCTTCCAGGTGGTGACGTTTTACAAAGAAGGTATTTCCATGTGGCCACTGCTGTTGTTCTTTGTCATCGCCCCATCTCTTCTGAGCACGGTGTTGTGTTTTTTCCAAATTTGTAAGGAGAAGACGACCAGCAAGAAGGACAAGAATCTTCGAAGACTGGGAATGGTCCTGGTGTCGCTACAGTTGGGGCAGGTGTGGAGAAATATATGTGAGATATGTGACCGCTACCCCATCGTGGACAGCTATGTCGTCCTCAGTCTCCTCATCATCAAGATGATAGAGGGTCTCCTGGAAGGAGGACCTCAATCCTTGATACAGACGTATGTCCTCCTTGATCGTCCCGTGGAAACGCTAACGTTTACAAATATTCTAAAATTTGTGTCTCCAGTTCTGTCATCCGTTAGTATGGCCGCAGCTTTAACAGATCTTGACTTAGGTCGAGCAGGATACTGCGTGCCAACGAAAGCCAAAATTCTATCAGTGTTGTGCCGCTTGGGTGAAGTCTGGGGGCGATTTATAGCCTACGCCGTATGTTTCTCGGCCTTCAAGTATTACGGATTTCTGCTATTCGGTGTCCAGTGTATTTTTCTCACCATCCCGACCTACATAGCACTGAGGAGAGATCATACCAAGAACAGCAGCCACCAGGTAAACTGTGTGTACCTCCGCTGCAGGTATGGCGGATTCAACCAGGAGAAACCCACCAAGTTGTTCACTGCAAAGCTGCCCCGTCTCATAGTGTGGTTCTGTATAACCATGGTGTATTCATTCGTACCCATCCAAAGGTTCGAACTGGACTTGGAATTTAATCTGACTCAATCAAGCCGTCTGCCGTTCTGGAAGTGTAGCAGATTATATGGACTGTATAATGTCCTGTATGGACTGCATATGCTGGTGAACATTATAGCATTTACCCTATGGGTTACTATAGGCGAGGGACCATCTCAGCAACTGTTTATTCCAATCTGTGTTATATTCATAGTGGCAACCATTGTCTCAGCTGCCTTCAGGATGCAATCCTGGATGGGGAGAACATACAAGATTGCGCTCAGACCCGGATTTGGTAATATTATATAAAGCATACCTACTGTCCAATCAAAGCAGGACATCTACCTATTACGCAATCGCACGGACGTAACACCTGTAACACCGGTTTAATCTGATTATCACCATCCGCTGAATAAGTTAATGCATGGCTTAACATCCGTCGAGAGAACAGTTGGCCGGACGTTCCACACGTAAGGAATCAAACCCGTCATGGATTGACGAGGGAACCATCAGGGCACCCACCGCCTTCAGTTTGAAGTCAACGAGACAAGACAATATATGAGAGGCCTAAGGGTGTAATACCAGTGTTTGCACCTCCTGTATCTGCTAGTAAATGCTGTATGTATGTATGCATACATTGTAGATGTGAATGAATATTTGAGGTCTTCAGTATTACTCAGTGCTGTGATAACAGGAGATCCAGACTTGTTTCAGGAACACTTGTACTGGCTTCAGCAGCAGCGTATAGCACCAAAGCGAATCCAGTATTGGAACCGTTGACAAGTTGTTACGAATGGGTCAAAGAGATTACCCATGATAAGTCTTTCGTGTTTTTACGAGCCATATTCTTTCACCATAATGTCTGTTATGTACTAATGATATAAGACCGAGACAATATGTTAATACCTTTAGATATGTCTCTGATAAACATAAAAAAAGCCAAAGGATATAAATTATTTCATCTAGACAGTCGTAGAATACATATGTAGATATGCCATTTAAACCAACTGAAAACCAGATTTGACAAAGGTGTAACACAATGCTATTGCCAATGAAAGCCTTCATAAATGGAGTATTTGTGACCATAGAATAACTTCCTCTCTCAGAGAAACAGCTGTTCACAGTCAATCAACATAAATAGCCCGTGAGTGTTGAGGGCAAGTAATTCCACGTCATTGGCCCTAACCGTGGCTACACTATTGTTTAGAGAGTACATAACGACAGAACGGAGTTATAGACGTCGATGTTGTGTTTTAATCAATGGAATCAATTGTTTTGTTGGAGCGTTTCATGTGCACCCTACACAGGAGGTCGTTATTCACGACATGAATAAAGATTGTGAAAGAATGTTATTGTTTTGTAATTTTCTATCAATTATAAACATAATAACTGTACGTAATTATAATAATTATAAACATGTCCCGTGAGACAAAATGTTGTTATGAAAGAATATGATTAAATCGATTTTCCGTCCTGCCGACTCAACTGAAACGAACCAGCAACTCGATACGAGGGAAATGAGGCAATTCATTTGATAATGGTCGTATTTATGTTTATTAAAATGGAGTATCGGAATTTCAATTGAAGCGCAGTCCAGGGGGTTTCAAACAAGGTTTTAATCAACTTGATCAGATTACCGTTATGAATTGCCGGAGTAACCTTTAGGTTTATACCGGTTTCGTCGACACCTATGTTCGTAATCAGATTACCTTCATAGATTGTTGCAAACCTTTAACAATGGTGATATGATGAGGCGCGAGTGTGGCTAAAGGCTGCTTGGAATTGTTTTTTTTTCACAGCCTGTCAGCTTTGCGTGGGAGGAAAAACCTGAAATGAGGATGTCGACCAAAGAGAAATCCAGCAAGGGTATTAGACTAAAAAACCCAAGAATCTCTTCAATCGAACCAATGGTCACCGGGTTCCTCCTATACGCTCATAGGTATCCGATATTGCGGTTCCTAAGACGAGTGGGCCACTTTTGCCTCCCGCCTGTAGTGAGTGTGTTTAGTTTTACGTCGCACAATATTCCAGCTATATGACGGCAGCCTGTAAAGAATCGAGTCTGGACCAGACAATCCAGTGATCAACAACATGAGCATCGATTTACGCAATTGGGATACGATGACATGTGTCAACCAAGTCAGTGAGCCTGACCACCCGACCCCGTTAGTCGCTTCTTACGACAAGCATGGGTTGCTGAAGATTCACAGGTCCCGCCGTCTATAAAGATGGATGAGGATACTGAATGGATATGGTTCGCAGGGCAGGATTAATTTTGATGACCAGGCTGGGGGACTTGGCTGATTGCGTGTCAGCGTGTGGCGGAGCTTGTAATACTCGTGGACCTCATACAAAGGGTATAGTGATGAGACCGGCGTAAAACAATCAGCATCTGTAATGCACTGCATGGTGTATGATGGACGATTCTTTGCCGTCTTGCCGTTCGTGTAGTCCCATTAGTACTGTTTCGTTGTGTTAGCCGGTAGAACTGGTACGTTGTGATAACACGCAATATATGTGTGTTGTGCTATCCAACAGCATCGTTACAATGATCATGCGTCGTGCTAGCACGAAACACTGTTACGCTGTGACATCAAGCAATACAGTTACGGTGTGCTAGCTAGTCTGTCTCACAGTCCCTGAACTACATTATTTTCCCTACTGCCTGGCCCTCTCTGCAATGCTAAAGCCCTAAATGAAACAAGTCTAGATTTCCTCAGGAAATCTCTGGTCTCCCTGTTGATCCTTTTCAAATTAAATGTGTTTGTTCGTTACTATCTAAATTATATATATTCAGAAACTAAGCGTTAGTCTATGTGCTACAATAATCTTATGTTGTGCTAGCCTGCAGTATCGTTACCCTGTAACATATAAAAGTTACACGTTACGTTCAGCTAGCCTTAAGTAAGTTAAACGTTACTTATGTTAACTGGCTAATAGCATAACCCACAACAACACACTTTCTATTCTATTCTTCAAGCGTCACACCTCACGCCAACTTCAACTTGAAATCAATCTCGGTAACTTGGTATGTGTCATGCCTATAGTGAGTGAGTTTAGTTTTACGCCGCACTCAGCAATATTCCAGCTATATGGCGGCGGTCTGTAAAAAATCGAGTCTGCACCAGACAATCCAGTGATCAACAGCATCTACGCATTTGGGATACACTGACAAGTCAACCAAGTCAGCCTGACCACCCGATCCCGTTAGTCGCCTCTTACGACAAGCATGGGTTACTGAAGATTCATTCTAACCCGGAACCTCACGGGTGGCATGCCTATAAGCGACTTCTTCACGTATCGTTTAAAAGAAATTTTTTGTTGGGGTTATTTTTCCTATACAAATCCAGATTAGTGTAATAAAATCAAATATTGAGCAAAACTTACTGAATCCACGGGAGCTTGTCTAGGACTGTCTTCATCTTGACGGAGTTCTGTAGTGCATGTGCGCAGTCCCGCTCGTGTTTGAAACCCGGTAAACCAAAAATAACCAGAAAAGTACATCCCTGAAAACAGATGGACGTATAATCAATGTGCACATGGCTTTATTTCAGTGCATCAGTTTGTTGATCTAAACTTGTCTCCCTGCAAATAGTACATCTTTCTCATAAGTTCACACATCCATATATATACTCATGGAAACAAATAAGGGAACACATGATAGTACAAGTGTTCCTTTATTTATTTCCAGATTTTCACCCACAGTGCAATACAAATAAACCCTGTGCAGAAACCTGGAAAAGAATAAAGGAACACTTGTACTTTCATGTGTTCCCTTATTCGTTTCCATGAGTATGTTTCCTTCTCATACGCTATTAGACATCACACGTAAGTGAATTTGTTGGCTGTCCAAGGTGTATTTGTTTATTTCATAATAAAGGTAAAGCTTGTGTGTGTATTCACAGATGTGTCAATTTCAACGGCTAGTTTACAATGCAGCAGCACAGACCTTATAATATGACATGGTCGAAACAATGGATATATTTGCGATTACGGTTCGTATCGAGGGGTGTGTCTCACCACGATGATATACTATCCCGATAAGTAATTTATCGACCAAAGTGTATTACGTTATCGTCACTGTACTTGTCTACAAACATGTCCTAACAGGAAATTTATAACTGGTAATTTATGATGCTGTGTGCAGAAAGTGAAATTTCATTGTGACGCATTTAGGTCGCGTACGTGTTACTTTCATATCGCTGGATAGGGGGTGGGTGGGGAGCCTAGTGGTTTTCGATTCCCCAAATGGGTACAGTTATGTGTGAAGCCCATTTCTGGTGTGCCCCGCAGTGGTATTGCTGGAATATTGCAAAAAGCGGCATAAAACCTAACTCACTCACTTATTATCGCTGGATGGATTCCTTTAAATAAATATCAGTAAGACACCGCTCGACTCCTTCCCACATGTAATTGAGTAATGCAATAAGGATAGAGTTACGAAGATAGGAGGGCCCAACATATGTATCCATTGTTCAGTGCACTATATAATGGGCCTGTGTTCCCTCTACTGCAATAAAGTTATTTATTCCTAAGAGGGCCCAGTGAACCTGAGCGCTATTGTGTACACAGCGAGGGACTGACTGACGCTTTTTTCAAAATTACAAACGTTTCACGGCTTGGTAGGCTAAGAATTGGTCTCAACGCATTGTAATTGTGCGGGTAAATTGAAGATTTATCTTTGGCGAGACGAGTCAACGCTTTAACATCTTTTAGTAAAACGCAAATATTATGGATGACAACTTCTTCTTTATTGTATGTCACAACGTTTCAGGGCTATTCCCTGCCCCTTCGTCAGGTGAATAGAAACAAGCAAGATACATCAATGAGTATATGATGGGCCTTCTTGTGTTGACGTTCCAGTCTAGCAGTTGGGTCTTTGGGCAAGATCTTGTAGGCGGAGGGGTCGTTCAGGTTGGTGTTCACGAGGTTGATGAAAAAGGGGGTGTCCAATGAGTATATATACTCATTGATGTATCTTGCTTGTTAGTATTCACCTGACGAAGGGGCAAGGAATAGCCCAGAAACGTTGTCATATACAATAAAGACGAAGTTGTCATCCATAATATTTATTTGCGTTTTACGTTAACACCAACTTCTAAATGCCTCTCAAGAACAACATCCTTTTGTCTCATGATGTCATACAGGCTGGCGTTAGCTAACCCACGAATCACATACATCAGGAGCTGTAGGTGGAAGACTGTCACCCCATAGCTCCACTAACCATGTTTATGACCTGAGACAGACACACACCTTATCAAACAGGAAGATCTTGTTCAAGCAGCCATGAACGACCTTGATGTGACTGAAAACGATGTCGAAGATATTCTGCAGATGTTCTGAGCTGTTGACGTCATCGTCCAATACCAGGTTCATGAAGACGATGGACACCTGTCGCATCTCAGACAGGAACTCGAGAGGCTGGTTGTCATCGATCTGGTGGATGCAAAGAGTTTAAAGGCAATCATAAGATGCAGATTATTACAAATATGAATATGCTCATTAACGAAAACGAATACCAGCGAGAAACTAGAGCCACGACTGCAAGGCCATCTTCAATTCCAAACTTTACAAACTTCTGTGGTGAAAGATCAGTCTGGTTTATGTTGAAAACAAGGTAAACATGACGCCATCAATAGATTTTTATATGACGTTGCAATCATTTTGAAATCCTGAAACGTCTTTGACCCGACTGCATATATGTGTCGGTTATCCACGCTCGGTGACGTCGATGGTAGCGTGTCCGGTATCCGTTGCTCACAATATCAACCACTGGTTTGTTTGATCCAGGCTGGATTATTTACAAGCTGATATAGCATGAACATTGGACACGGCGGCCTAAAGTAGATTACAAAAACAAATAATCCCAAGAAGAATTGATAAACGTGACCTACCTTCTTCAGAACGGGAGACAGCACGTACAGCCGTAACGTCTCCTCCAATCGCATCGCCGTCACCGTCTTTACGATGTTACGTACTGCAATATGAACACGTTATGTCTGTATTGTACGCATTGCGTACAGAGTTCGATAATTAAACATGATCACTTATACAGTACCCATGAATAGTTCTGGGTCAATATACAGCTAAAAACACGCCAAAACAATTGAAACAGATAAGACTGGCCAGTGTTATTAACTGATTCATGGTATGGTTATCTCCACAACCTAACGCTCCTCAACACACCATACAGAGTTGCGTCCCTTGGGCAAAGTGTAAGGTCCCCGTTATTGTGGTTTCCAAACAAGTGGAACACGTCTAACAAAGTCATCATTTCGGGCTTCTCATAGAATATGCGGGGAGAAAGAAAGTTCGGCCACTTAGCCGCGCCATACGTTAGAGTGGATAGTGATACTTGTTATTATCCAGTCTGGCTCACGCCATTACGTGTACAAAACCTGTCGCCTCGGAGTCTGTTTCGTGTGCCTAGACTCACAACTTTCTTTCTCAACTGCAACCCACTATCCCACCCCTATCCCCACCCCACACACGCATACCTCACAATCATCAAATAACAGCTACAACAACACAAAATAGAAATAACAATTCACAACACAGTAATGGCAAAAGAAATCAAAGGAATATGGTAGCTTAAACGCAACAATACATGTACTCTTAAAACGTACGTTTCAGCACCCCTGTCATGGTTCGGGTAGAAAAGCCTGTCTTCCTGGCCGAGGCCTCAGCCACACTATTGTGAGTCCCAGCCGGGGGCTTCTCATCGGGCGGGGACACGGCATCCTGGTGGATAACGTTTGTAGCGAGCGTCATGCGCCGCCCTTGGGACTGTACGAACTTTAGAGCACCACCAGTGAGGGAGAAACGACGCTCTGGATTGAGATGAAGATGAAATGGGTTGAACTGCCGACCACACATGTACAGCGACAGTAGTTAAACTTGCAACTATTGCGATAGTAGTGCCACAATTGCAACACTATTGCGATAGTAGTGTCACTATTGCGACAACATTGCGACAGCAGCACCACCATTGAAACAATATTGCAATAGCAGAGCCACCAGTGGGACAATATTGCAATAGTAGTGCTACCATTGCAACAGTATTAGGATAGTAGTGTCACTATTGCAACAATATTGCGACAGCAGCACCACCATTGAAACAATATTGCAACAGCAGAGTCACCAGTGGGACAATATTGCAATAGTAGTGCTACCATTGCAACAGTATTAGGATAGTAGTGTCACTATTGCAACAATATTGCGACAGCAGCACCACCATTGAAACAATATTGCAACAGCAGAGCCACCAGTGGGACAATATTGCAATAGTAGTGCTACCATTGCAACAGTATTACGATAGTAGTGTCACTATTGCAACAATATTACGACAGCAGCACCACCATTGAAACAATATTGCAACAGCAGAGCCACCAGTGGGACAATATTGCAATAGTAGTGCTACCATTGCAACAGTACCGTGACTAACACTGATACCGTGTACTAACTTGTCATCGATATATTGCCACCAGGATAGATGAACTTGCTTTGCATTGATAGTTCTCTTAGCGGTATTACTGATATCCCAAATACTTAGCAAGATTACAGCAATATAAATGATGCCCTGTTAAGTACAGAGTACCTCTCTGTTTCCCAACTTCGGGGCTTGATGCCCTAGCAACAACTGGTTCCGGTTTCACTTCCAATACCTGGAACAAAGAACGTTATATAATCCTTTAGTTGACACAGCTAATGATACTGAAATTCATTCATGTAGTTGAGATGGTTTTGAATATACCGAACCGACCGAATGTTATTATACTGTGTCTAGTGGGATCGTTTATAAAGGTGCATCAGAGTCAAACACCGTTACAAGTGTCGAACGTTCGGTTGTCTCGAAGAAAAACATGTCCCTTCGTATTCCTTAATGAGTCATCATTTTGCAGTTGTGTCTAACCTTGGATAACTCGAAGTAATAACGTAATCCCTTTAACTTTGACATAACAGTGTTTGACTGCGGACATATTTGCAGACAACACGACAAGTTTATCTTTCCCATTAAAGTCCCAAGTGAAAAGCATACATCTACTCCTAGTGACTCAATACCTACCCTGACATGGGCGCCATCCTCCATGACCTCGTGTTCATACCCACCGGAGTTGCAGATCTCCCAGGCATGGGGTGACATGACGACATAGCCGGACTTACAGAAGCTTTCAGCCTTGTTGACGTCAGACACAACCTGCCCCAGCTCAACGTAATGGCGGAACTCGTCGTTTCCAAGGAAGGTCATGGTCATATCGCCAGCAGCAATACCTGTTTTCACCACGAAAGTTACATTTTACACATTCCAAGGTAAATTTCAAATAGGTAATTAAATAGAGAATCTCACCCAAGTGTCTACTGATATCAATTATATCAACGCGAGTTGATAAAGTTACAAATATCCGAAGCTTGCCGAGGATATTTTTACCTTTATCAACGAGTGTTGATATAATTGATATCGGTAGACACGAGGGTGAGATTCTATTTATCATCAACAATCATTCTTCATTAGTTTTCAATGAAAAATGTACATCTCTCAACACTGTACTACCATTAGAGTGCAGTGCAGCGATGTCATAGCATTGTGACGTCATCAAGTTGATGACGTCATAGCATTGTCAGGGCATTGTACAAAATCTACTGTCAAATGATATCTCCTAGGAGATATATAGAGAATACTACACGAGGTCTCATTACATACGAATTATACGAACGAGTGTCCTTCCTATGGTATCTGACCGACCGAAAGCGAGGTCAGAAACCATGAGAAGGTCACAAGTTTCGTATAATTCGTATGTAATGAGACCGAGTGTGGTATTTTATTTATTACCCACTCCTTGAATGCATTGAATTGACAAAATAGCATATTTTTTTGGTTATTTTTATGGTTTCAAACCGAAACCGGTTTCATAAAGAGGTTGCGGAAAAGTTTTGTTCTGTAGTACACTTTTTTGCATGACGTCACACTGTAATGACGTCACTACGCCTTGCTCGTTAGCCCCTTTGGTTACTGACGTCACGATGCATATCAGTTGTCATCGCCTCATACAGCCTCCTACATTAAACTACTCCGTAGCACCCTGTTTCTTAGTTTGCAGTTGCTTCACTCGGCTAACAACACTGGTGGAAACTTTGCGTTTATGTTTTTCGACGGACATAATGTCTCAGTTAGACACACAGTTAAACAGCAATTCGGCAACGTTCGCAATGTTTACATTCTCACAATGCATATAAGTTGTAGAATGAATGAATTCACGTGTTTGTTATGAATGAACAAGTAGTTCCGTCACAACGTGACCTAATTGAGAGGTCATCGGTTATCCAATCAAATTGTTAGAATCTCAGGTCAAGTCAACGCGATACAACACTCGTGTGACGTACGAGATTAGTATGCAACTACCCATACGTTGACCACGTGGGTAATAATAACATATGATCTTACACAAGCGATATCTCCTGTTGAGCACAGTTTTGGATGATAAAGGTTTACTTAGTATTCGGAATCGCGTTCACTGTAAACTATGATTAACACTTATTAAAAATAGTATACCCAAATCAAACCCATTTTTGTTGGGGGTCTATAAAATGAACCCAATTTAGCTCTGTAAATAACCGAGGACCAGACAGTAATGTGTTTGATATCAATGTCGATTCATAGAACAGGGATACGATGATACCCAATCAATCAAGCCTGACCACTCAGTCCATTGTGTATTAATTTAAGCTTTGAAAGTAAATATTTAAAGAAAACACCAATCAAAAATGTACTTTATGTGATAGACAACTATATGTATAATAGAAGATACAAAACTTAGAAACAGTATGATATCTCACTCCGCTCGGTGTAGATTTGCTATGCTTGTCATTGATGGACATTGGTGCACATTGGTGCACGCAATAGGCTTTCCATATTGGACAATCGTTGTAAGCTTAATCAAATTTGGTTAGGACTTATGTCGTTTTATACATGTATTTACTTCCCAGCTACAATTCTAATTCATTAGATTAGCTTCCTCAGCTAATGTCCACTGCAACATTAACGAGCTGAGATGACCTACGTTCTTCAGAGTAGGAAACTGAAACCAATGAACGGAATTTGGACTTGCCCATTTTGACGGTGAGTTTGACGCCAATGTCCGTGTCCCACTCTCCACATTGCCCTTGTATGTCGAGGCAGCACTGGATGACTCGGTCTAACGCGACAGGGAGCTCTGACTCCACATTCACCCGCCACAGAGCAAGGATGGCATCACCTGGTAACGAAGAAAATAAAATAAACTGGCGTACAAAAGAAAGTACACACAAGGGCTTTTTGGTTTACTTTCCAAAAAGCGACGTAAATGTTTTGAAAAGAGTTTTTACAGTGATATATGAGTTACAGACTTTCCTAATATGTTGCCAAAGTACCACAGATATCGTGCCCAATTGCGAAGTTGCCAGTCAAAATCACAACACTTTTCAAATAATCCCAAAACACCAGGTGTCTACTTTCTTTTGTACGTCAGTATATAATAAACACCCAAGGTGTTTTGCAAATAACCCGTCGGGGTGCAATATTGAAGATGATCAAATCGACAAGAAATGTCACGTTTAACGTTATGACGTCTTATATTCAGTTCAACATTTATTGTTTGTTTTCTAATTCTGTACCACTTTTCGCATTCGTTTTAAGGCCGGGTGTTAAAATATACATTTTTAATGTCAATCATTTCCAAACAACAGATGCTTTTGAGTTGTCGGTGGATCCTTGAACCTAAACAAATGAAAAATGTTCTCCAAATTAAGGTTATGTACAGCAGAAGAATAGTGGATTTCGGAAGAAAATATAAACGAACTAGGGATTCACAATTTACACATCATGATGCGACTCTGGAAATGTGATGTGTTTTATGAACAAGTTTATACTGTATTGTTACCGGCGTATTTTAGGACGTCACCATCAGAGGAGAGAATGCCGTCCACGATGGCGCCCATGTATGAGTTGAGAGTGCTGGTGAGTGCATCAATACCGCTCTTCTCCATGGCGCTGTATTGCTCGCACAGTGACGTGAAGCCTGGGAATGTAGATATTGCATTGTTATGGTGAAGATCCAGGTAGGAATCGATCTTCACCAACCCATGCTTGTCGTAAAAGGCAACTAACGGGATCTAGTGTTCAGGCAATGACAAGAAACTTGTCCGTATTTAAATTATCAGAGGTACAGATAAGCTGCGTTATCTGCGTAATTTACGCAAATATTTATATGAAAACTCAATTCCTATCAGGTCTATTGCGTACAAGTACGCTTGAAGTTTTAAATAAATACTCATTAAATTTGATCTTACATGCGTACACACATAAATGTCACTTTTTAGCTTGCGTACCGGTGGTAAGATAAAATAACTCAGGTATATTGAGATGTTTTATTTCAACACGTGAACTTGGCTACTTGCAGTCTTTCTTATCGTTTCTCATATTACAGATCAAATATGAATAACAAACACGTAAAACAACATTTAAACTTTATATTACTTTTATACAAATTTATGGAAAATGGCAAAATACCCAATTGAGTTGGATTGAGGTGGGTACAATATATTTGGTTACTCAAAGGAAAATTAGGATACCCAATTGAGATTCATGAACACAAGCGAGTACATAACTCAATGACCCAAAAAGTTATCTGTAGCTCTGAGTATTTAACCAACCTGAGATGTCGGCAAACATCAAGACAGAGTGGTACTCTGTGCTCCATGGCATGGCTTTGGAATGGTCAGCGAAAGTGACCAGGCCTGGCACGTGCGGCGTTAGGGCCCGCACCTTCTGGTTTTGCTCCGCACGGCCGTGCTTCTTACGGAAGAGCGTGAGAGTTAAATCCGTGAAATTTGCTGGGGGAAAAACAAACAAGCATAGTGCACATTGTCATTTATATTATGACATATATAGAGAGAACGGTTGTAATTAATTCGTTTTGTATACTTTGTTTGGTTTAGATATTAATACGTCCAGTGATCTACCAAATTGGATCGATGGTGTTAAATATACTGCCGGTCTGTATCGAACCGGTTTACGTTTAATATGTTTCTTTCAAATATTCATTTCACCTAAAAGATTACCAACTCCAGAGACCATATAATAGATTATTATATGGTCTCTGCCAACTCGTACCGGTTAAGGTGTATTAAAGGAAATTCAGAATAAGAATCTAATATCATACAGATGATTTCATTTATTATTTTTTTTATAAACATTTGAATTCAAAACAACTGACCTCGCCTCTGTGTTTCACTGCTTTCCGCCTCCATGACAGACAACTTCGTGCGAGGATCAAGTGGTGAGATACTTAAAAATCATAGCTACCGCCATTTCCATCTTTCAGGGTCAACAAACACTTCAGACCCCGTTGCCAACTTGTGACGTCACAAAGCGCCTGGGAAATCCCCTACGGAAGCGGAAGCAGTATTTCACGCATGTCTAACATTGATACCATGGCGGAGGGAAGTTTCAAGTACGATCCAGGTAGATTTGTTTTTCTTGATATTGTCTGTATTCGACTAGTCTCAGTTGACAAAGTGATTGAATAGGGAGTTTAAAGCCGATATATTTGTTTTCCGTAATCTGATGTCACTTTCGTTGCTTAGTATTGTTGGTAACTTCAGTGTTTAGTTTCAGCGTTCGTGATTACATTTTAAGTTGATCATATTCATAACCTCAGTAGCTGCGTAGCTTTTGACAAAAAACACCCCACTTAAGTTAATTATATCAATCGAATCGGGGGATCTGTTTTATCGTAAGAAGCTAATTAGGCTCCGTCAGTGGCACACGTTTCACTGATCTCGCGAGCCTATCATTAGGGATAAATACACCACTGTCTCCAGCCTTTGGGTCCCCATATCTAATCAAGCTGCAACACCGCTTAGTGAATCTGAGGGTTAAGCATCGCTTTTCAATCAGACATCATTTCGTAGCTGCGCAATCGCAGTAAGTACTGCTCTGCTATCAAAATCTGATATTTTTTTAAGTAACCAGGATGTATGCCTTCTAACTTTCTGCTAAGATATGTAGCAGCCCTACACTTCAGTTTTATCATGTTTATAAACAGATTGTCAAAAGTTATACATCTGTAAACATAAAGTGTTCAAGTTTACCACATGTTGACTGCATTAGCTACTGTGTCACACTCCAGCAGCCAAGTCGGAAACAGGTAATTGAACTGAATACTTTGTGTGTAGATTCATTACTGTGACAAACTCTTCAAAACTTTCCAACTAAGCAAGCTTACATGCTGTGATTTTCATGAAATAATGTTCGTTGTTGTTCAAATCATCTTTACACGAACAGTCTTACTCATGTTTCGGTGATACTAATAGCTATGAGATTATTGTCCTTTCACCATATTGGTTATACCTTTCTGTTTCCTTGGCATGAATCATTAAATATATTGGCGTCTGCGATATTTCCAGATAAAAATTATGATGAAGAAACACTGGCACAACAAAGAAATATTGAAAAAGAGGTAAGACATTTGATTGCTTGGAAACATCAGTTACATCTTTGATATATTTTATTGAGAACATGAAATATGGTAACATGATTAATGTATGCCATTTATGTCGGATCTGTTTCTCAATTTTCTGCCTTTTTCCATTGCTGTCTGACAAACTCAAATGGTGGTTGTTTTGAGGGTTTAGTAAATATACTGAACAGTACTTTTTCTAAAAAAAAGTATGAAGATAATACCATATAGACAGTGAATGGAAATCTGATTTCCATCGGACATAGTTCCTTGTTATCTTGAATGACCAATGTCTGTATGATACTGTAACACAAGTCATTATGGATGACTGATTCCTATTCACTTCTGTATTTAACCTTGACAGTACTTTACTAGAACATATCGTAAGGGTGACCCACAATTTCAATTTCATTGCGTTATCATGGTTATGCTAGGCATATTTTTTTTCTAAACAGAGTTTGGTATTGTGACCTGTGAAGATCTGGGTTAGAATTGGTCTTCAGCAGCCAATGCTTGTCATAAGTGGCGACTAATTTTGTTGGGTGTTCAGACTTGCTGACTTGTTTGATGCATTTCATGGTATTTTGTCGATGCTCATGATGTCAATCACTGGACTTAATTATGTATAGATAGCCTTCATATAGTGGAATATTACTGTGAGTAGCGTTAAACAACAGTCAGACATTGAAAACAAACAGGTGTGGTAAAATACACAGTGAAGAACAACCATCTGTACATTTTCTCTCTTAATCGGTTGTGATGCTGTTACAAGATACCCACAAGATCAATGGGAAAGAAGTTTAATGCCTTGATGGGAAGGAATATTGTGTGTGAAACTGTTAACAAGATTACTGAAGGCTGAACAACGAATGTTGTATTTTATTATATCAGCTCCTGCTTTTACTGAACATAGGGCAGTGGGGTATCCTAGTGGTTAAGGTGTTCACTTGTCACGCCGAAGACCCGGGTTTGATTCCCCATATGGGCACAATGTATGAAGCCCATATCTGTACCCCATGCACTGTGGGGTGATATTGCTTGAATATTGCTAAAAGTGGTGTAAAACTAAACCCACTCACCATGCTCACTCACTTTACTGAACACATTCAAAATATACACAATTAATAGAGTTACCATTTCAGTGTTACCAGTTGCATGATTAACATTGCGAATATTTGATATCATGTTTCAGTCATCTGGATATGTAGACCTCCTACATTCTTGCTATTTCAATCACAAAAACATCAATGTTGTGTATAACATATATTATCTTGCCTCACACATAAATGTCGTTTTCCGATTGGCTGAGCGCTCTTCTAGTATTTTCAATGTACACTGCTTATCAAGCGAGTAACATTTTCTGTGTACCCCGCTGGGAATGCCGAACTCATTTGGTACTTCATAGTTATAATTCTTTATGTCAAATAACATTGAATCACTTATGATATACGGAAATTACCGATGTTTTGCGAATGCAAATCGATGGAAGGCAGATAACTCTACATTTGTTTTTCTTGTTGTCTTGTCGTCTGGCACTCTATACTATGATCCGATACCCATGCTTCAAACAGTTCCAAATTGCCATTGAGGTGTTCGTTAAGATAAATATGTTGTTCACTGGTCCCTTGGGGCCCATGGGTTGATGTACCCTTGATGTTTCTTTATGTTCCCCTCAGGGCTCAGGAAAATAAACAAACATCCAGGGTACATCAGCCCATGTCCCCCTCGAGACCAGTGAACAACATATATTACTTTCCAATGTTGATGAGCAGTATAAACTCAGTGACCAATGAGCATGATAAGATGGGGCATCACAAATACAAATAACTCACTGACTATAGTCCGTTTGGCTCAAAAGCGGACCGATGAATTGCAATCTAACTCGAAAACTAATAAAATAAAATACTCAATGAAACGCTGATCATAATCGAAACATCATACCTACTCTGTGATTTATTTGCAGAATTTTTGTCCCCAAAATAAAAAAGTTGTTTAACAAACTATCATTAAAATATTGACACAGTTCACTGTTTGTTACGAGGGACAGCCAGGTGTTCGAGAATGGATGGAGACGGCACAGCACAGGTTAATGAATAAATAACTTTGTCTGTGAACGTGCTCCTCGAACACCTGGCTGTCCCTTTCTCTGCACTCCTCCCTCATAACAAACAGTGAACTGTGTCAATATTTTAATGATAGTTTGTTAAACAACTTTTTTAATTTTGGGACAAAAATTCTGCAAATAAATCACAGAGTAGGTATGATGTTTCGATTATGATCAGCCTTTCATTGAGTATTTTATTTTTATTAGTGTTCGAGTTAGATTGCAATTCATAGGTCCGCTTTTGAGCCAAACGGACTATAAAATTCACTAAAAACCACTTTTATGTTTGTTGATTGGTTGGTTTGTTGTTTAACACAGCACTCAGCCGTATACCAGCTATATGGTGGCGATCTGTAAATAATCGAGTCTGTACCAGACAATCCAGTGATCAACAGCATGAGCGTTGATCTATGCAATTGGGATACGATGAATAAATGTATGTCTGAATTATTTTGTGAACAGTCGTAGCGCAACTATTTTCTGGTTCTAGATAACATTTGCCTTTTAACATTGGTCTATCATTTGTATTGTGTGTGTGCAGATCACAGACAGTCAGTCGCTGGTCAGTAGACAGCTGAGTGTGGAGGAACTTATCGAAGAGTATGCCAAAGAAGATGCGGTTTACCGCAAGAAGTTGGATGTAAGTGTTAGTGGTGTCCAGATGATCGGAAATAATTGAAAATCGATCGAAAGAAGGATTAAAAATGATTATCGATTGTAAAAAGCCATATTTTCGATTAATTGGAATTTTGTTGTTTTAGTTTAACACACTTGAATGAAGTAAACTAGCGATGAAATTTGACGAATATTCACAAACAAACATGCGCTCAACAGCTTAAAGCTATGCGCATTGTAAAATTGTAACTACTTTTATTGTTTAATTACAATTCCAGCGTCTTTCTTGCATGCATGCATTCATTGCATGACAGTATTAGTTACAGTCCGTTTGAGTCAGAAACGGACCGATGAATTGCAAATTTTATCATTGTACAAAATTGCCACATAAATATAAATAGTACACATGTTTATCATTTACTAATACCCAACAGCTTTCTTATATTTGAAAATTTTCCGGACTCCACCAAAAAAGTTGTTTCAGAAACTATCATCATTGAAAACGCAAAAGTTGTTATCTGTCGCGGCGGGGTGAAACCGCAGAAACGAACAGCCACTATCTCGTCGTGCACGGGATACACATGCCTGATGAAAAATGAAGTTGAATGCTGACGTGAAACAGTTTATGATTAAAGTGTACGATTTTTTCCGTGCTGAAGCCGAAAGGGGCAAACCATTTTATGCCATTAATACATTCCGTAAGCGGGCAGCAAAAGCTTTAGGAGTATCAGCAAGGGTACTGACAAATGTTCTGGAACACAAACATTGTGAGGGTGATGTGAAGCAGGTAGGGGTCGTGTCAAAATCACACAAATTAAAACATTTGGACAACTTTCAAAAGAACCTTGTAAGGCAGTCTATCAACAAGCTCTATTCTGAAAACAAATACATGTCGCTGAAAATTTTAAAAAGCATTTGAAGCAAGAACACAACCTCAGAGTATCAAAGTACACACTCTGGCGACTCTTACACTCTTTCGGGTATCGTTAAAACTTAAAAGAAGGGAGAGAATAGGTCAGTACTCTGTGAACGCCCTGATATCGTTCGCTTGAGAAATAATTTTCTCAGGGTTATAAAGAAGAAGCGCGAGGAAGGGTTCGAGCCAGTGTACTTGGACAAGACCTGGGTCAATGCCTCGCACACTGCCAGCAGTCAGTTGGTACCCGATGGGGGTGATAAGGGGTCACGTAGAAAGCTGCCTCTAGGGAAAGGAGAGAGACTAATCATTCTCCATGCTGGTTGCTCCAGTAAAGGCTTTCTCCCAGGCTGCGACTTGGTATTCAGGGCAAAGTCCACAGATAACAGAGACTACCATTCCGAGATGAATGGTGCGGTTTTCCTCGATTGGGTTAAAAACAAGTTGGTACCAGCTCTACCAGAGAAGTCTTTTATCGTAATGGACAATGCCCCATACCACAGCGTGCAGGACCCCGACAGTAAAGCCCCGACATCGAACAGTCGAAAAGGTGATATGATAACGTGGGTCGACAAATTTCAGATCGCACAGCCTTCAAAGGCAACGAGGCCTCAGCTATATGAGATCATAAAACCCCACAAAGGTGAACCTTTCTGCAAAGTTGACAGTTACATAAAAAGTAAGGGGCACGATATTCTGCGACTTCCACCCTATCACTGTGACCTTAACCCCATTGAAATGATATGGGGTATTGTCAAAGGAGATGTTGCCAGATCAAACACAACTTTTAGATTACGTGACGTAGAGGTTTTGGTTAAGGAATCCCTTAACAAAATCACGACTGAAACTTGGCAAAACTGTGTCAACAAGGTAGCTAACGTCATTGAACAAGGTTACTGGTCTCGGGATGGCTTACAACAGGCAACTGTGGCACCACTTGTCATCCCTTTAAGTCGTGACTATGACACTACGACGGACGAGGAACCGACAGGTCTCCCAGAATAGATTTTGAGATGTCCCCGGCCATGACTGGTTGTTCCGTTTCTGCGGTTTCACCCCGCCGCGACAGATATAACAACTTTTGAGTTTTTAATGCTGATAGTTTCTTAAACAACTTTTTTGGTGGAGTCCGGAAAATGTTCAAATATAAGAAAGCTGTTGGGTATTAGTAAATGATAAACATGTGTACTATTTATATTTATGTGGCAATTTTGTACAATGATAAAATTTGCAATTCATCGGTCCGTTTCTGACTCAAACGGACTGTATAAGGAACATTTATTAGAAAAAAATCTGGGGAAAAACCCTTCAAATTGGTGATTTCATTAAAAATGTATATATTTCGATTATAATCGATAATCGTTCACCACAATCCTCCGATAATCGATAGTGGATTTGTTTTCCGATTCCCAACATTAGTAAGTGTGTTTTTAGATGGATTGTTGGTTTTAAACAGAGAGGTGATTTTATTGGGGGGTTATGAAATGATATGTATCCCAATGATATGGGTTTAATACAATTGGTATCTTGATACAAATTACAATACCAATGTTCCATAAGGTTTTTCTTTACAGATGAAACATATCCCTGAATCATTTCTTTTTAAATTTGAGATTAAAGTTGGGATATTGTAGGCCAGAGACGAAGACGATAGACGATTGTAACAAATAAACCCATTTAAATTGGAAAGGAGCCCCAGGGCGGTCAGTCTCGACTTACTTCATTTAGCATTGCAGGGAGGGCTAGGCTGTAGGTAACTAATATGGTTCAGGGACTGTGAGACAGACTATGCACACAGATATGATGTTTTATTAATATTGTGTCAGAGGCCCAGATAAGCTGCGTATCCGGGTAAAATACGCATAGAATTACTCATTGAAAAATAATTGTTGCGTACCAATTACGCATTTAAAATGTTAGATACGCAGAGAGTTTAAAACAAATGCGCACAGAATATATTTATAAAAATTGCTTCCGTAATGATCGATTGCTATCAAGTTGTACTGTTACTGTGTTAGTATAGGACAAGTGTTGTGCTGTCAGTATAGGATGAGTGATTTTTGATGAAATCATTTCCATTATATTTAAGTTGGTTTTGATTAGGTATGACATAAGGCAGAACATACCTGCTTAGTAAACTTACTCAATGGCATGTACTTAGGTGAGTAAAATGACTGAAATACGCACATATTTGAAAGCAGTGGGTAACAGAAAAAGAAATACCCACTCAACATTCATAATACCCACTCCAAAAAAATACAGTGGGTACAGTACCCACATGAGCTAAATCTTATCTGGAGCTCTGTTGTGTTAACATTTAGATCTGGAATTAGCAACCTGGTAAACTTGGTAAGCTTACTGAGTTATTCATTTCATCATTGCTATCATAAATGTCTCAGTGATGATTGATAATCTAGATGCTAGTGACTGAGGGGGCATCTCAAAATGTTAATATTAAATAAGAAACTTGATACATGACTGTTTTAGACATATCCCTGAACATACTGCTGTATAACATAATTGTGATAATTATGACGAGGTGTAACGATACGATAGGGCAGCAATGCGATACATATCCCATTAATATGGGTCGATGTGATTCGTATCCTGATACATTGTTTTATTTTATAGGTTCATATTTGCTCTCTTTCTGCTGGTGAATAGCATCCCTGAATCATTTGTCTTTAAGTCTCAGACAGCAGAGATGGGATATTATAGGGGAGAAATATATAAGTTTATTGGCTTTGTAGGGCTGGACGATTCACTGATGCACCGATACATCATGATACATTTAAGTTTGATACGGCGATCGTATCGTCGACTGGTGTATCGATACAAAACGATATACACAAGTTTTTCAAAACAGTGTTATCTTAAACATGTTAAAGTACTTATTTAGAGAAAATATGCAAGTATATATGATAGAGTTACTTGTTTGTTTATGATAATAGTTTTATTATTATACACAAATACCTTGAAATAAATTATTTTAATCTTAATACTGTGTCATTCTTTCAAGGTGTATGTATCGTGATACGTATCGTATCGCAGGTAAAATATCGTGATATGTATTGTGTTGTGACATAGTGTATCGTCCCAGGCCTAGCGCTTTGCAGATTCTGCTGTTTATAGTCAATCAGGAAATATTGGAGAATCTGCATCATGGTTCTTCCACAATTCCTGTTAATACATGTAGTCACATCTTTTTATATCAGTATAACCTGTAATTGTATGTACAGTATGTATTGTGATATGGGAGTCAGACATCAGTGTTGACAAGTTGACAAATTTATTGTCAAGTTGATATTCATAACTTTTATATGAATCACTTCTAATTGCCAGTTAAAGGCCTTAAAAATTGTTTTTGTCATGTGGAAATCTTGTTATCCTCAGTCAATATTGACTAAATGTACCTCTGGAAAGTGTAAACATTTGCGTAAGTATGACGAAAATCCCTCTGAGATCAAGGTAATGTTGCTTATTATGATTCCTTAGGGTAGCCTAGTGGTTATTCGCCCCGAAGACCCGGTTGAATCCCCACATGGGTAAAATGTGTGAAGCCCCTTTCTTGTGTTCCCAGCGTGATGTTGCTGGAATATTGCCAAAAGCGTTGTAAAACCAAAACTCAGTCAGTCAGCTTATGATGATTGTGATCATGCTTATGACACGTTAGCTGATTTGTTGATCAGAATACCATGAAGCTAGCTGCGCAATGCGTTGAAATAGGTCACATCAGGTGATCATAGCCGAGCAATATATTCATTCCATTTTTGTGGTAAAAAAAGCCCAGCTGCATGAAAGCAGATTCTGCAACATGGAATCCAAAATTGTTAGCTGAAGAAAACAGATTTTATGTTAAAACCCTAAAGGAGACTGTGTATCCATGGAAGCAGTTTGTTATTATTTCCTGGACTCAATTACATTGTTGATATATCTATCAACCCTTGTGACATGTCCTTATTTCATTACACTTAGGGGCAGTGGGGTAGCCTAGTGGGTAAAGCGTTCGCTCGTCATGCCAAAAGACCCGAGCTCGATTTCCCACATGGGTAGAATGTGTGAAGCCCATTTTTGGTGTTCCCCCACCGTGATATTGCTGGAATATTGCTAAAAGTGGCATAAAACTAAACTCACTCACTCTTTTTCATTACACTTAGGCACAATGGGATAGCCCAGTGGTTAAAGCATTCGCACTTCACGCCGAAGACCCTGGTTCGATTTCCCACATGGGTACAATGTGTGAAGCCCATTTCTGGTGTTCCCCGCTCTGATATTGCTGGAATTTTGCTAAAAGCGGCATAAAACTAAATTCACTCACTCACTCATTCAATATTTGCAAACATTGTGCCCGGTTGTCTAAGGCTTGCTATGCAGAGTTGTGTCCCTTTGGAAAGAAACCTCCTAATGATGGTTTGAATGTTAGTTCACCCTGATTGTGTTGCCAGGTTTGTCAACACCATTCATGTGCAAAGTGGCAAACATCTGAGACTGCATTACTTTAGGTCCCTTCTGAATTTATGCTGCCATGCCATAATGTAGCTCATTACTGGAATATTGTTCAAAGTGGTGTTGATCACTCACTCACTCACTCACTCACTCACTCACTCACTCACTCACTCACTCACTCACTCACTCACTCACTCACTCACTCACTCACTCACTCACTCACTCACGGAAGAGGCAGCTAACGGGATCGGGTGGTCAGGCTAGCTGATTTGGTTGACACAACACATGTCATGGTTTACTAACTGCATAGATTGATGCTTATGATGTTGATCACTGGATTGTCTGGTCCAGACTTGATTATTTAGAGACCGACGCCACATAGCTGGAATATTGGAGAGTGGCGTAAAACAGAACTAACTCACTCACTCACTAACTCACATTGTTTCAAACGCAATTTTTGTTGAGAAGGATGTAATTTTTAATATAGTTTTAGACTGGGCTGAACTGACTCTTGTGTGTTATTATTAATGCAGGATTTGCGGTCAAGGTACAAAAAGGTGAGAAAGACTCGAGGGGATGGAAACTGCTTTTTCCGGGCATTTGGTTTTTCCTACCTGGAGAAGCTTCTTGCAGACGATACAGACATGCCAAGGTGGGTCCCTTGTTATTTAGCAAAGGTATGATGAAGAAATCACACCTTAATATATTGTACTGTGTTTACTGCATAGCTACTGGAGTTGTCGTTGCATGCAACATCAGAACTGGAATTGTGTCGTAAGTCACCTAAGAGGTTACAAGAGTCACATCATGCAATAGGAAGTGATGTCAGATGTACCAAAATTTGATATTGTGAAGGAAAAACAGGAAATTTGGCATTATGCATCCATTTACCTTGTGAGGATGAGTCTATGTGATAAGTCACTGCGCTCAACAGGCTGCATGAGTTGAATACTCCCCACGGAGTTGAGTTGGTTTAAACAATGCCAAAAAAGAAAAGAAAAGACATCCGTTGATCAAGGGAAGACTCCAGCGCCTTGAGCATGTACTAGTTGTGTGGATATGTGTGCTATATAAATATCCTATAAGACATAAATAATAATTTTTTTATAACTTTATTTCTTTTCACTGGTACATGTTTTACAATAAATGGATAGTTCATAGTTCAATACACATAGTATCAAATCAAAATGGGTATAACAATTCAGCAGCTGATAGTTATGGCTTTTACAGGAGATGTATTGTTCAGGTAAATAGGCAATGACATATTGACCAGTATTTCATGAATTTGGTGTAATCACAAGTTAAGGATGAGATATATCTAACTTTATGATATGAACTGATTACATCTCTTTTGATATGTTGGAAATGCGGTGGTAGTTTCGAAAGTTTGCATTTAAAAATGTTGAATTTAGTTGTATTTATAATCAGATTAACAACATCATTTTGCTGTTCATAATAGCCAAATAGGATATGTAGTTTGGTAAAATCTAGTTTATTCCTGTTTTCTCCTCGATCCATTCTTCAAATTCTCTCCAGATATGGCTAACTTTTGTACATTCGTAAAAGAGGTGTGTTCATTTCAATTGGGTATCCTAATTTTTCTTTGAGTAACCAAATAAAGTGTACCCACCTCACTCAAACTCAGTTGCGTATTTTGCCATTTTTCTCCTCGATCCATTCTTCTAGCTCTTTCCAGGTATGACTAACTTTTGTACATTCGTAAAAGAGGTGTGTTATTGATTCAATGTCAGTTTTGCTTTGATAAGTAACAATATATTATTGTCTTATGTTTGTTTATAATTTCATATTTCATGTTAAATTATGTAGATATTTATGGGTCCTAGAATTTTCAATGGGTCAGACAGACATATGAAACTTACAGGACCCAATGTCCTGTTCCTTTGAAACACCATTCGAGAACACTGTTAAATGTGAGTTTGTCCTCATTATTTATGAAGTGGCCGAGAGATGATCGCGAGGTATTGATGAAAAATAATGCAAGGTTATTTTAATTAGGTATAAATAAATAAATGGGAATAATTCATATTTGTATATATGGATATATTCTGACTTCACTGCTGGAACCCGTGAAGATCGGGGTAGAATAGGTCTTCAGCAACCCATGCTTGTCGTAAGTGGCGACTAACGGGATTGGGTGGTCGGGCTCACTGACTTGGTTGACAGTGACACATGTCATTGGTTCCCAATTGCGCAGATCAATGCTCATGCTGTTGATCACTGGATTGTCTGGTCCAGACTCGATTATTTACAGACCATCATATAGCTGGAATATTGCTGAGTGCGGCGTAAAACTAAACTCACTCACTCACTGCTGGAAATCGTCACTGAGTCCTAAATGACAGATCCTGCCTGTCCCTCTGATTAATATTGGCAATGATATGGTAGACGTAGGGTATGCATAGCATAGTTATCATTGTGGTCTCATAAAAATGCTACCTCTATTGCATAAGGATTTAGTTCCTCCAGCCTCTCTCATCTATTCTGAGTATAGAGTTAACCTTATAACAATGTTATGAATGGTAGACTTCCACGACAACATGTCCACACAATATTAACAATAGTAGACTGTGACTGCAACCACAGGGGCTTGTATAGCGAGTGAGTTTAGTTTTATGTCACACTCAGCAATATGCCCGCTATATGGCGGTTTGTAAAACGAAAAACTGGTTCAAGTCATTTATTGTGACTGGGTATAGACCTTTGTCGCATAGTGCTAAGACCCTGTCGGTGACCAATATGTAACTTGATGCCAGTTTTTTTGTGTTACAAGCTCAGGTTTCTGCAACACACCATATCATACTCCTAGGCCAAATGTAGAGATAACATCATTATCAGGTAATATGATACACCAGGCCTTATCACCCATACTGCATATCCTGATCATGTTGAACATCAGTGCTTGTCACCGTCCATTAAACCATGCGGTTAATACTCATGCAGTTGGTCTATGAACATGTGGACACTGTTTCAACAGCAGGGTAATCCTTGTTTGTTTTCAGCAACCTGATACATTCTGTGTCTAGTTCCACATTGACAAGAATCTCTGGAGGGTGGGAGTTGTCATACCAATTACTGGATAACGCTTTTACTGCTGCTGAGAGATCCTAAAAGATATGGACTTTTCTAACATTTGGCCTAGGACTATATCAACAAGAGTAGACTTTGATGGCTACATACAGACACGGTGGCCACAATGATGTCTGTATGATGTCAATAGTGACGTCAGCATTACACCATTACATGGCCATGATGAATATTATTGCTGTCAATTTTCAGGTTCAAGGAGATAGCTAGCAAGAGTAAAGACGAATTAGTCACTCTGGGCTTTCCACAATTTACCATTGAAGATTTTCATGAAACAGTAAGTTTGTTTTAGACGTTTACTTGATCAGAGCAGTGTTTAGAATAATCACCAACTGAAGGAGCTAAGTCACTGTTGATCTAGAACTGATATGTGAAACACAGAACTGCAATTTTCCATGCCCATTTCTGATATTCTTGTCATTTCATAAATCATGTCTTCATGATTGTCTCTGTGATGCACTTATAGTTTGTAAGTCATTATGGTCCTGTCAGACACGCCCTGCACACAAATACATATACCTTCATAACTGTCAGACACATCATACATATACCAGACATTGTCAGACACATCATACATATACCAGGCATAACTGTCAGACACATCATACATATACCAGGCATTACTGTCAGACACATCATGCACATATCAGACATACCTGCACATCATACGTATACCAGACATAACTGTCAGACACATCATTATACATATACCTACATAACTGTCAGACACATCATGCATATGCACATATCAGACATACTGTCAGACACATCATACATATACCTACATAACTGTCAGACACATCATGCATATATCAGACATACCTGCACATCATACATATACCAGGCATAACTGTCAGACACATCATGCATATATCAGACATACCTGCACACCATACATATACCAGGCATTACCAGAGACATCATGCATACCTGCTCATACATATACATCATGTACCTACATAACTGTCAGACACATCATGCATATATCAGACATACCTGCACACCATACATATACCAGGCATTACTATCAGAGACATCATGCATATATCAAACATACCTGCTCATCACACATATACCTACATAACTGTCAGACACATCATGCATATATCAGACATACCTGCACACCATACATATACCAGGCATTACTATCAGACACGTCATGCATATATCAGACATACCTGCTCATCACACATATACCTACATAACTGTCAGACACATCATGCATATATCAGACATACCTGCACACCATACATTTACCTAAGTTTGTTAGATACTCTTATGAAAGACACAGCACTTTATTGTTGTATGTTGTAGTCATGGCAATATGCACACTTCTGTTTCAGTTTATGGACATCATAACACAGGTAGAGAGCAAATGTCCACTACCTGAACTTGCGACCTCCTTCAATGACCAGGGTCTGTCAGACTACTTTGTTGTATATTTAAGGTAATCCACTTCATCTTGGGTTGCAATAATTCAATTGTCAGATCTGGCTGTTGCTATGTGACTGACTGTGTGTACACTGATTCACATGTCATGCTGTGATTCAGTGATTCACATGTCATGCTGTGATTCAGGCTGTGCTATGTGTCCTTATGTGTGGACATTGATTCACATGTCATGCTGTGATTCAGGCTGTGCAATGTGACTCTTCATGTACACTGATTCACATGTCATGCTGTGATTCAGGCTGTGCTGTGCTTGTGTGTGACATTGTGATGCTGTGATTCAGGCTGTACATGTGATTCATGTACATGTCATGCTGTGATTCAGGCTGTGCTGTGTGACTGTTTGTGTGTGTACATTGATTCACATGTCATGCTGTGATTCAGGCTGTGCAATGTGACTCTTCATGTACACCGATTCACATGTCATGCTGTAATCAAGGTTAATTGTTTTGACATTTCTGGTGTCCCCTGCCGTGATATTGCTGTAATATTGCCAAAAGCGGCGTAAAACCATACTCACTCACTAATTGTTTTGATTGCCATTCTAGAAGTTGGCGAGTCAAAAATGAAGCATAGAACTTTATGGATGACAACTTCTTTTTTTTGCATAGAGCAACGTTTCGATATAGATTGTTACACCGTTATCAGGATAAAAGTGTAATTTAGGCTGTTGCTATGTGACTGTCTGTGTGTACACTGATTCACATGTCATGTTGTAATCTAGGCTCATGCTATGTGACTGTCTGTGTGTACACTGATTCACATGTCATGCTGTGATCAAAGTTGTTGCAATGTGACAGTGTGTACAGTGATTCACATGTTACGCTGTAATCCAGGCTGTTGCTATGTGACAGTGTGTACAGTGATTCACATGTCATGTTGTAATCCAGACTGTTGCTATGTGACAGTGTGTACAGTGATTCACATGTCATGCTGTAATCCAGACTGTTGCTATGTGACAGTGTGTACAGTGATTCACATGTCATGTTGTAATCCAGGCTGTTGCTATGTGACAGTGTGTACAGTGATTCACATGTCATGCTGTAATCCAGGCTGTTGCAATGTGACAGTGTGTACAGTGATTCACATGTTACGCTGTAATCCAGACTGTTGCTATGTGACAGTGTGTACACTGATTCACATGCCATTGTGTAATCCAGGCTGTTGCAATGTGACAGTGTGTACAGTGATTCACATGTTACGCTGTAATCCAGGCTGTTGCTATGTGACAGTGTGTACAGTGATTCACATGTCATGCTGTAATCCAGACTGTTGCTATGTGACAGTGTGTACAGTGATTCACATGTCATGTTGTGATTCAGGCTACTGGTGTCAGGGCATCTTCAGAAGGAAAGTGACTTCTTTATCAACTTCATTGAAGGTGGCCGAACTGTGAAAGAATTCTGCGGCCAGGTAGGATATCTTTTTCTTTCTAAAAATTATTAGGAAATATTTCACACTTTCCACGAAACAGCAAGAGACCATGATATGCAAATAATCATAATGATGTGTATTACAGTAAATATTGTTTTGTCCCACATAAATATTGAGATAATTATTGATTGATATTTTGAATGATGTATATCAATAGCCAGCCCAGTAAATTATGCTAGTCACTTAAGGCATTGTATGGTCAGACTATGTCACTTTCAGGCCCATGTTCAGCAGTAATTAGTTAGCCTGAGCGAAAAATAGACAGAGGATATTTCATGCATAAATACAGGAAATGACTTTTGCCAATCAAGTGAAATCAAATCAAATTTCTGTCACTGCAGTGAAAATGTCACTTTTCGCAAAGTCAGAAATCTGTCTCACTTAATCAAATAATAAATTTACTCCTTCGTTCATGTTTGAAAAACTGATTGTTTGTTTTACAGGAAGTGGAACCAATGGGAAAGGAAAGTGACCATATCCATATCATAGCCTTGACCTCTGCCCTTGGAGTTGGGGTCAGGGTCGAGTACATGGATCGCAACGAGGGACCAACTTGCAATCATCATGATTTCCCAGAAGGCAGCAGGCCTTCCATACATCTGCTATATCGACCAGGACATTACGATATCTTGTACCCCTAATGTTGAGATGCATGGAAGGATTGGACTCTGTGAGATTTACCCGGTGTCAGTTCTCAGTCGACTGAAACCTGACTGAAAATCATCTGGTGTCACAGGATATATTTTCAAGACAACCTTGTGTAATGACAACAAAATGTTTATAACATATTATCGGATAAACATTTTGTTTTAGAAGTTAACTATTGCTCTATTATTTATGTACAAATGGCTGGAATAAATGTGGCAACTGTTGTATCATTTGCTGAACTGGTCCTTATCATACAAGAGTCTGTGACGAATTCTTCCTTCTGTTGCTCATCTATGGTCTAGAGGTGAGTGGAAATGTTTGCCATGAACTTTAGATGAAGTTAAGACATGATAATTATTATTCTGTGTTAAATTGGGAAGTTTGGTCTACCAAATCGGGTACCACTAATATATTGTCTGTTTGTACTGGGTAAGAAACATTGTATAATCAAACAGTCCCTGTTTAGTTGGCAGAGACATCTCTAAGTTTAAATGTTGAATGTATATTTAAGGCCTTAATAAATCAGTTGTGAGATTTTCATCTCTGTCTGCTTTTCTGTTACACAGGAACAATATCCTACTGTCCAGCACTGCTTTTCTGTAAACAGAGACAGTGTCCTACTGTCTAGCATCAGTCTCTTTTAAGAGTGGCAGTGTCCCACTATCTTGCACTGCTTTTCTGTAAACAGGAACTGTGTCTATCTGTCCAGGGCATCTCTTTTTAACAGGGGGCGGTGGGGTAGCCTAGTGGTTAAAGCGTTGGCTCGTCACGCCGAAGACCGGGTTGAATCCCCACATGGTACAATGTGTGAAGCCCATTTCTGGTGTCCCCCGCCGTGATGTTGCTGGAATATTGCTAAAAGCGGTGTAAAACCAAACTCAGTCAGTCAGTCTTTTTAACAGCAACAGTGTCCCACTGTTTAGCACTGCTTTCTGTTTAACTGGGACAGTGTCCCACTGTTGAGCACAGCTGTTTTGCTAAGAGGGACAGTGTCCATTTTAACTGGGGCACTGTCTTACTGTCTAGCACTGCTTTTCTGTAAACAAGAACAGCATCTATCTGTCCAGCACATCTCTTTTTTACAGCAACAGTGTCCTGCTGTCCAGCACTGCTCTTCTGCAAGCAGGGACAGTGTCCATCTGTCTAGCACTGTGTCTCTTTTTAACAGCAACAGTGTCCTGCTGTCCAGCACTGCTTTTCTGCAAGCAGGGACAGTGTCCATCTGTCTAGCACTGCGTCTCTTTTTAACAGCAATAGTGTCCTACTGTCCAACACTGCTTTTCTGCAAGCAGGGACAGTGTCCATCTGTCTAGCACTGTGTCTCTTTTTAACAGCAACAGTGTCCTGCTGTCTAGCACTGCGTCTCTTTTTAACAGCAATAGTGTCCTACTGTCCAACACTGCTTTTCTGCAAGCAGGGACAGTGTCCATCTGTCTAGCACTGCGTCTCTTTTTAACAGCAACAGTGTCCTACTGTCCAACACTGCTTTTCTGCAAGCAGGGACAGTGTCCATCTGTCTAGCACTGCGTCTCTTTTTAACAGCAATAGTGTCCTACTGTCCAGCACTGCTTTTCTGCAAGCAGGGACAGTGTCCATCTGTCTAGCACTGTGTCTCTTTTTAACAGCAATAGTGTCCTACTGTCCAGCACTGCTTTTCTGCAAGCAGGGACAGTGTCTATCTGTCTAGCACTGCGTCTCTTTTTAACAGCAATAGTGTCCTACTGTCCAGCACTGCTTTTCTGCAAGCAGGGACAGTGTCCATCTGTCTAGCACTGCATCTCTTTTTAACAGCAATAGTGTCCTACTGTCCAGCACTGCTTTTCTGCAAGCAGGGACAGTGTCCATCTGTCTAGCACTGTGTCTCTTTTTCACAGCAATAGTGTCCTACTGTCAAGCACTGCTTTTTTGTAAGCAGGGACAGTGTCCATCTGTCTAGCACTGTGTCTCTTTTTAACAGCAATAGTGTCCTACTGTCCAGCACTGCTTTTCTGCAAGCAGGGACAGTGTCTATCTGTCTAGCACGGCGTCTCTTTTTAACAGCAATAGTGTCCTACTGTCCAACACTGCTCTTCTGCAAGCAGGGACAGTGTCCATCTGTCTAGCACTGCGTCTCTTTTTAACAGCAATAGTGTCCTACTGTCCAACACTGCTTTTCTGCAAGCAGGGACAGTGTCCATCTGTCTAGCACTGCTTCTCTTTTTAACAGCAATAGTGTCCTACTGTCCAGCACTGCTTTTCTGCAAGCAGGGACAGTGTCTATCTGTCTAGCACGGCGTCTCTTTTTAACAACAATAGTGTCCTACTGTCCAACACTGCTTTTCTGCAAGCAGGGACAGTGTCCATCTGTCTAGCACTGCATCTCTTTTTAACAGCAACAGTGTCCTACTGTGTAGCACTGCCGTTTTGCAAACAGGGACAGTGTCTATCTGTCGAGCACTGCGTCTCTTTTTAACAGCAACAGTGTCCTACTGTGTAGCACTGCCGTTTTGCAAACAGGGACAGTGTCCATCTGTCGAGCAATGCTTTTCTGTAAACAGGGACAGCATCCATCTGACTTGCACTAAATCTTCTTAACATGGACAATGCTCCACTGTCTGGCACAGCTTTTCTGTATAACAGGGACAATGTCCAACTGTCTAGCACCAGTCTCTTTTAAAAGAACCCAGCATGCAAGTTCATGGGAATTTCACTAATGATGACTCACTTATGGCCAACTACTGTACCTTCGGCGAACCGACCGTTCACCGATCCACGTTCAATGAACCACAAGGGTTCGAATCAATGTTTGGACAATAATTTTTTAAAATAAACATCTAGACTTTTGCAGTAAAACAACAAACAATGCTATGGTTTGGGAAAAATGTGGCAGAGCTCCTATCCAACTCGTGTACAGCAATGGCTATTAAGTATTGATGCAGGTTACTGTATTTGAATGGACACAGACTGCCTCGCCAATGCTACCTAATGGACGACACTGGCTGTACCACATGGGCTACTCATATTACAAATGTTCTGTTTAGACTTTGATTTGAATATGTTTAGTTAACACAAGATGTGGGAGATGTGAAGATATTTATTCACCTTTTTATAAAATGATTATTTGACAACTTACAACAATCATGGTGCAGTTCTGTCAACAGTTTATCTGATTCCTTCTATTAATATTTAGGGCTCCTTGCCTCTAGGCAGGAGACCTAGCAATCGTTCGGATATTATTATTATTATTATTTATTATTCTGCAGATTTTTGTACGAAACGTACCTCCTAAATCAATGCTCTAAATCGCTTACAAAAAACCACACACAGATGCCCACCGAGGTGAAGATATTCCCTTTAAAAATCTCTAGGCTCTAGGCTCAATAGCAAAGGGGAGATAATTCAAAATTAATTCCAAAAGTTCAAAGTTTGACAGCAAATATCTCAAGAACTAATTGTTCCAACACTTCCAAATCTCTTGTACAGATGCACAATCGAATTGCCAACAATTTTGCCTGGATGGGTCAAGTCGCTAAAATGTACCGTTTGGTAGTTATTTTGGTTTTCAGTTTTTGGCCATGTTTTTCAGCAGTTTTCTGAGTAGTTTGCTCCCAAAATGTGCTGAGCTCGAACCAAAAAATTCTGCCAGTATGATAGATGAAGTCGTGGTGATTCCAGAACACTAATTGTTTTGACTGTTGACCGAAGAACAACTGAGATACCGCCTTTTAAAGAGGGAACTATTTCTTCTCTCTCTTTATATCATAGTCATGTGCTTTTCCATATCCAGTAGATAACTGGCCAATGGTCCAATGTGTAATCAACTTCTCGAAAGCATCGGCAGATGTTGCCATACCATGACTATTGTTATACTTTCTAAGATCAATGCCTATTGAATCACCATGATCAACCCCATGCAAAATGGAAGAATAGATTTTGATGTTATATTGAAATGATGTATGCCAAATGAATAAAAATAATATATATATTCTTCTATATTATCATTCCATTTTTGAAAGCACATACATTGTTAAAAATACGTGGTTGAATTAATCAGTTATGTGTATCAAATGTATTATCTATCTATTTATTATCAATTGTATAATGTGGTAATAACCATTTTCTAGGTACTATTATTTGGCGTTCAGTTTATTAACACACACACACACACACACACACCCACACACACACACACACACACACACACACACACACACACACCCATCCGCCACTGATCGAATTATACGCCATCACATTTGCTAAAATAAACTATATTCAATCAATGTGGTCGTTCAGATCCATGTTGCATGTGTACGATTTCGAGACAATAGCGAGCCGACACGAAATATCAACGCACATGTCGGTGTTGAAAATGGGGTCTGTGTTATTGTTTACATTACGCCCATGTAACGATTTTCGTGTCTCAAAACCGCTTAAATAACGTTTTCGTACACTAAAAGATTTACGGAAACTGTCGATGATGCCAAACGTTTGTTCAAAGCAAAGGGTAGTGCTAATGCGAGGGTCAGAGGTCAAATATGCAGTTAGATATATTGAATACGATGAATGAAAGGTAAAAGAATGACCTACAAGTTCACAAGTTTTGTGGTTTTTTGTGAAAAACGTCAGTTTTGATTGAACCGCACGTTAAAATAGTCAGGCTGTCCGGTTTTCGATCAGGATTTTAGCATCGCAAGTGCCACCCCTTGTATGAGTGTAGCGGTAGAATTTTCTAAAATATTAATTTCTTCACCGATTTTGTTCAAATTTGAAATATATGTTAATCATAACATATAAAAACAATGTGCGATTGCAAAAGTCTAGATTTTAATTTTTAAAGTTATTGTCCGAACAGTGATTCGAACTCTTAATGGCCCATGGCTATTAACACACATCACGAAACACGTCACTCAGTTTCTGCAGAGACTAAACAAATCTGCAGAGCGATGATTTGTTGGAATTCCACAACACATACAAAGACTCTTATCACCCATAACTGACCTGATGCTGAAAGCATGCGTGACAGGTATTTTTATTGCCTCCCCGTCCCACTGTCAGAAGTGTGGGCTGTTGAGGGAGCAGGACGTATCAGGTGTCGCAAGTATAGGGATATCAGCTTTGGTAAGGATCTCCTGAGATTTCTATTCATGGACAATTGGATCTCTCAAAAACTCCATTGAGGACACCAAAGCTATCAACTTTTCTCCAAAATCCAAAGGTTCTATCTGCACTATATGTGACAGTTTGATGTCTCATCACACAGGAGAAAACCTTTTATTGGAAGTACATTTGTACTAAGAGTCATGTCGTCTGATAGAAATTTTATTTCACAGGGAATGATATACACATACTGTGCAATGTTTAGGTCAGGTAATTCGAGTGGACAATGCTTGTGACATCATTTGAAAGGACTGCCATTAAGTTGTACCAGTACTGTGGAGCTGAAGTGACAAAAAGACTAAGATCTGAAGGTGATTGTGAATGAATCGATTAGCAGAGAGACACACACCGAAAGCACCACCGTGGTGTAGTGGTAAGAGCGTCCGCCCGGAGAGGGGAAGGTC